AGTAGCCCATTGAGAGAGAGAGAGGGAGAGAGAGAGAGAGAAGAGCGACCTTAATCCGCTTGGACTCGGGCTTTAAGACTTTGGAGATATCTTCGCGGGCCATCGAGGCAAATCGCTCGCGGGGGTTGATCGCCTTCTACTCACTCTGGCACATAGCCCAAGGCGGATTACATACACACTAGTGTACATAGCCAAATCGCCGTTTTGTCCGATTTCATAAATTTAGACGAGCGCGCTTTTTTACCCTCTACGCCTCTGCCTCGTTCGTTGAATAACAGTGTGGCTTTCAATGTCGGTCGCCATTTGCGAGAGAAACCAACCCTTGACATCGGTCGACCTCTTCAAGCATCACTACAATGGCCGGCATCGATCGGCAATTACTAAATGAGTATGTGCACTTGCCAACGCGACCTAACTATTACTGTGAATATGCAAATTGCACGCGTACTTCACAGATTATTCATGTGTTAAAAATTGTTTGGTCGGTGCTTGCTTGATCATTTTTTTTAATTTTAACTTTTATTTGTATTTCCAACACAAGATATTGTACAAAATAAACGATACATGACTACATTGCTATTGAATACTTTATTGAAGAAACAAGAATCTTGAATTTAAGAACAGCATATTCCATTCAAATGACACGTTATTTATTATCATAATTCTAATCAATGGAGGAGTTTTAACGTTTATAATTAAAAATAGCTTTATTTTCATTTAGTACGCTGTTACGGAGAATTATCCAATCGACGTTTGGAATTTCAGCGCAAATTGCGCCATTTCCGTTCGTTACAAAGAGGATGCTTGAGCTTTGTTCCTCCGGGACTGTGCGATTTATGCGCGAGAACTGCTCAAAATTAGCGAGACGTGCTGCGAGTCAAACAACTTTTACTACCGATCTTACATAGCCCCTCAAGAAACTTTTCTACCGACGACGATACAATTATTTTTATTATGTGAAATTGACATGCTTTTTGACTTCAAGGCTACAGATATCGCTTGTACTAAGATTCAGTTATTCCACGTTACTAAACCTTGCAAGTAGAAATGCTTCCTTAAAGTTTCTCTATTTTCATCTAATGTCATGTACAACAAATTCTAAAATACAAAGCTGAATGAGAACAGATATGTAAAAGGTAATTATTACAAAGGAACAATTTTTAGTTGACAGCTTACAATTATTTTTGAGAAGAGATGCATAGCTATAATGCAGTTTAAGTCGATGGTACGAGTTTCGGACACAAACTTATCAAATACTCAACTTAAAATAATTTCTTCGTAGATGGATATTTCGATTAAATAGTATAATATTCTTTATAAGCGACATGTTATTGGATCCTAATTGTTTTTAATTAAAATTAATTATCATATAACGGACTGTATACATGGCTTGTAATTGCAAAGTCAGTTTATTTCTAATGAGTTTATTCGTTCAACAATTTAAAAATACATCAAGTACAACGGAATTATCGAAGAAAATTTAAAGTGACAATATGACTTTTTTTCCGTTGCATAATGACTCGTCGCAACGAGTAATGTTATTTACTTGCATTCCAGCATGTATCACATTCAGTATTGCCAGGCTCTCATCGCTGATGTGTTTCGGAATACATCCTCTATTCACCGTATTTTCGGCACTGGTAATATTAGCTGTAATAATAAAATTAAAACATACACCAATAAAAAATCACCGTTTTCAATTTAGTTGCAAACCAAGTGTACTCACTTATCGAAATTGTTGCACATTGATATTTGAACAAATCCTGATCTAATTGATCTGCGGAATAAAATTTGTATATAAATTACGTGCACAAAAGAACATTACTATTAATTATCTTACTACAGCGGACATAACTATTGCGACACGACACAACACGTTTCGTCAATGAAAGTGTGGTCGATATTTCTTTAATTCTTATACTCACTTATTTTTAGTTATATTTTAATATGCCTATACTTCGCAAAAAAATTCAGTATCGTTTCTTTGGTTTCTGTAACTTAATTACTAGAAACAAAAAGTTTTGCTTGTCTTATTTGCATCATTTGCCATAGGTACAAGCTACCACTCACACCTCGCAAAGAAGGTTTATATGCGAGTAGCCTACGAGTGCTTCGAAATCTATTGACAAGAAAGGTACATAAAAAATAATTCACTGTTTAAAACAGAAATTATTATCAAACACGTGCTATGGGCTTCTCTATTTCACGGAAGTTAGGCGTATATTATTTTTTTGCCCATCATGGCCTAAATTAGTCGGTACCGATCGAGCCACGGCCGGGAAAATGCTACTTTCGGACCGCTGTGCAAAACGGCTACGTATTAAGAGACTACTTGCTTAATATTTTAATTAATAAAATTTGTTTACTGTACTGAAGAGGAATTTATGCTATACTGGTAGTATTAATGGATTTCTATAAGTAAACTTCATTATTATACAGTTAGTAACTGTTATAAACTTACTCGATCTGTTAAAAGCGGTAGAAAGCTGAGACGAAAATTTCTTATTTCCAGCTAAGTCGTTTGGATCACAATTGGCGATAAATTTTTTCTGCGCAGGTTTTGCTATGCAGTCTTCATTGAATTCGGAAAAGCATGTGTAACATTCAAGGGCTGAGACTGAAAAGCAAACCAAATCATTAGACATTATCGTTGATTTCAGAAATATTTGTTATTTAATTGACTGATTTAAAACAGAAAACAGAAAAATATAAATTCTTACACACTCATATCGTTGGCTTACCTTGGTTTATTATAAACAGAATAACGACAGAGAAGAATATTGAATTCTGAGCCATCTTTTGTGAGTTGAACATCATACTTTTTCAATGAAATCCAGAATAGAGTGAAGCGATTAGTGTTCGTTTAGCTATATACCTCTATACTCCCCAACTTATCAGTTTATTGTGCAATTCATCATGTGATATAAAGATATCGCTGAAACTTATAGCGATGAAATTAGTCATCTTGCAGTGTTTATTGATTTAGTTGATTTAAGTTTATGAATAGAGGAAATGTAGTAAGAACATACCAAGCGTATCATTGATGTATTCGTATATCACGTAATCAGTTTGCTTTCGTTTCGACACTTATACATACACAACAACTTTACCGATTTGTAGTACATTTCGTTATGCAAAGGTTTTCCAATCTTATTAATGGGCACGTAGTTGCAGTGAGACTGCGTATGATCGCCAGAATTTATTGCACCAAAGCGTAGACTAAAAGCGTTTCCTGTTATTACCTGTCTGCTTTGTCGCACTATCATCTTTAAATTTTCAACGCATTTTCAACAGATAGACGCCAATGCTTATTGCACAGACGCCCTTAAACTCAATCAGCAGACAGGAAGCTAAAGGTATTTCGTCTGTGCTTTGGTATAATAATGCTGACTACTACAGGCTCGCAGCAATAACGTGCCTATTAATAAGTCCAAAATAGTACATTAACTAACTAGTGCGACAAAGTAGATTCTTGTCTGAAGTGAGGTTTACACCTGAGCGAAACGAGGCTGAAATGGCTCACGAGACAGGAATCTCTTATCTCAACATATTTAGGTATGGTATTTTTCAAAACGACAAAGTGTGCAAAGCATGAATTTGCGCGTATGATTATCGCTAGACCTCCTGCAAAGTCATACTTTTCACGCGGGGCGTGAAAAAAAAAGAAATCTGCTAAAAAAATACTAAGCGAAATAGCTATGGTGTTACAGCAATTGAACGGTAAGCAACTGTAGGTTTGATGTTTGAACAAGTGTTTTCGTTTCTCAATTCTAACGATATTTACTACGTTTGCTTTTCTGACACGTTTTGAATGAATTACTAACGAAACATACGTACAGTTCTCAATATTTTTTAATTATCACTTTCGGAAAACTTGTACACTTGCTCGTAACTAATTAAAAGAACCGAAAAAATAGGTGTTAAGATTTATTTAATTTAAAAAAGGAGCTATTAAGTGAATTTATCTCAGCACTAAACTACAACGTTACAACGTACTCTATAAAATAATAAAAATGCTGATTTGACGTTCATGTGCATTTATCATTCTGGCACTATTTATCTCGGTTAATTAACTTATAACTTTCTCCGTGACGTAATCTGATGTCTAATCAGCGTATATACAATTTAGAATATACAAGTGGTAAGAACAGTTTTCTTGAAAAACCTTCAAGTTGTTTTAAAGCTTGGTGTTTAAAATTTGTATAGAATAATTACGAAGTTCTCTCTTGAAACGGTAAATCTCATCCGCTTGTAACCCAACTTTCATGAGTATAATAATTTTAATGGAAACATCGTTAATGTGTTTTACTATATACTTTCTTGATACATTTACTTTATTACTTGTAAGATTGACTATAAAAATGATAAGATATTGATTTATCCGACCAGGAATAATATATTTTTAAATAAGTTGCTGAAATTTTTCTTAACTGCCTTCAGTTATTATCTATAGTTACATAATCTACTAAATAAATCCTAGCAATATATATGAATTCACTTCTTTAATTTAAGGTGACCTCATTCATTCCGAACCATCAGTGCGTTAATTGTTTCAATTGAAACTGTGGAAAAATACTTGCTATCCGATGAAATACGCTATGAGTGCAATTATCTTCGTGAAAATAATCGTCATATGTTTACAAGTACATTTGATAAAATAAAAGTTATCGTAGAAAAATCAAATAATCCCGAACCCTCATTGATAAATTTAAACGATAGAGTTAGTGAAAAGTAAAACAAATGACGATTTTTCCAATAATATACGGTTACGCGATAGCATACAATCGATAATTTTTTTATTGTTAGCCCTAAAATCTACACATTCAAATGTCAAAGAAAAACTGTGCCGGGGCGCTGATTGCCTCAACCATTTTTTATAGGACTTCAATCGATTCTTGTCAAGTTCGCTCATGATCAAAATAATCGAGGCACACATGATTCGATTTGACGCAACAATCGATCGAACCGAATTAATTATAGGCGATGTTCTCTGTCAACAGGTGCGATTTTCACTCTTGACCAAGCAAACAGCAGCACCGAGGTGGCGTTCAAGTACGCCGTGCACAAGATCAACAAAGACAGGCTCATACTGCCGGACACAACGCTAGTCTACGACATCCAATACGTGCCTAAGGACGACTCGTTTCACGCGTCCAAGAAAGGTAAAACCAACTGCGACTGCCGCGCGGCTTTTTTTTCCTTTTTTGTCCCGTGTAGCCGGAGAGTTTCAACGGTTAAATGGCTTTAGGGATTTGTTCGCGAACTGGCTTTTTCCATTTGTACGTAACAGCTCTCTCTCCCTCTCCCTCTCGCTGTTTCTCTGTACCTTCTGCTCTCTCTCGATTTCGTTGATTAAAAATTCCTACAAAGTCAAAATCTAGCGAGAACTCCGAAAGTTAAACTGGATTTTTTACACGGTAAATGTATACAGCTCGACGTACCACAGCGCGACGTGACTATGTACGAGCAAAAAAGAAAAATCACAAAATGTGCGCTCGGAAAAACATGAGGTTGTGGCTCAACCTGCTACAGCTGCTGTGTTTATATATTCCGCGAGTATTCGTTTACATCGTTTCTCGCTCGCGATCCCTTTTTGGTTTTAATTAAATTTGCGCTCCAGATCTTCCCGAAGTCTATTGTTCTGGAAATATTGGGTTTTCTCGAGGCAAGGTAAAGGTTGTAAGGACTTCATTAAACTGCTTAGGGCGTACATTAGTACATACTTTCTCTCGTCAGCCTCTTTGATCGCCAGTGCAACAATATTAAAGTCAAAATTGATCATCGCGTCGAACTGCCACGTCAAAGGAATTCGCTCGAAGGGAAAGCTTCTTTCGCGTGCACGTATCCGCGCGTTGAAAAGCTTTTCAATGCAAGTTTGACTTTAATGATTCAGCTTTCGATTACTTTAGGTAAAGAGAATCAGCTTTTGAGCGATCGATCGGCAATAATATAGTCTAGCAAATGTCAGCGTGCGAAAACAATGCCTTGTCCCCCAACACACACAAAGCCATTATGTGCTAGACGCGTGTTCAAGAGGCGAACACTCGAAGCATGCGTCGATTTTTCGTAGTCTGGCAGCGCTATGAAAGAATTTTTTTTTCTTTTTTATTCAAAAAAAGCTCTATCAAAAATTGTTTTTTCTCCGCAGCGAGACTGAAATATTTTCGTCAAAAACGTTCGCGGCTGTGAATTATTTATTTCATCCGCGCACGGGCGCAAACGAAAGAAAAAAATTGATTCGTAAAGCCAAAGTGAGAGACGATTTAACGGACAATTACTCCGATTGAAACTGCTCGCCGCGCTGCGCTGGTGTGTGTGTGTGTTTGCGCGCGCGTTTTGTCAAAGGAAGGGTATGGTCCCTTTGAGAGCGGAGGATGGAAAAGATATTTGTCGTCTCCGCTCGCGAGAGCCAAATTTAATTTCCAGCGACTACAAAGGAAGTTAGTAGATTTTTGCACCACGAGGGACGTGAATCCTTCTTTCTCTCTCTCTCTCTCTCTCTCTCTCTCTGCGTCCGATCGCCTGCGGGCACTCTGGTCATGGCGGTGAATTGAAAGTTCTTTTCTTTCTTATTTTCCTTTTTTACGCGACGAATTCAAAAGTTCCTGCTTGACGAAGTTTGTATGTGTGTATACAGCCGCGTGCGAAAATTCATTTCAGCCCCAAACATTTACTTCCAAATTGTGGTTGCTATGTCGCAACGTTACGCTACTCACTAACGAGCAGGAATTTCATCACTGTTAATCATTTCACTGAAAATACAAAAATATATACGTGCGTTCAAAATATCACCATTTACAACTGAGCTATTAATTATCTTGATGGATTCTTGACGTTTAATGGAGAAATTACATTTCACATTTGTACGGAAATATTACTTACGCAAAAAACTGATGATTTCATTTTTAAATGTATTCCAGTTTCATATTCATGTTTATCCGGCATGAGTTGGCAGTATACGTATAAAAAGTGCTTAACGCAAACTCGTCATAATAAACTAGCGAAAAATAATGAGAGATAAGCCAATCGTTATAAATGAGAGGAAGCAGGATATTATCATCAGAAGAATTGCAGATAGTACAGAGCAAGTTTTTCGATTCCGTTACGCTAAACAAATTTCGCTCGCAACTACCTCTGCGTATGTATATACATTCTTGTATCCTCTATAGTCCTGCAGGTAGGAAACGAGTTCTCTCTCCCTCTCTGCCCGATATATCCGATTTTCTATCTCGCGACTTATCGATCGTATATAAACGCGTGCAAGTTCACTTTGTTTCTCGAAATAACCCGACATTCCTATAAATCGCCGAGCCACCTTACGACGAAAAGACACTATATTCCAGCTTTAATACCTTCTACTATATCCCGTAACTAGTGCAATACCGGATTTCTCTATAACATTGAATAATGTAATGCGCTTTACCGAATACCAAATTATCTCATCGAAAGAGAAGGAGAAAGCTACCTCACTTTCTTACCAAGTGGCTTGAATGCCTCCGAGACGACTTTATTACACATTATTTCCATTCCCGGAATGTAATACTCGCTTTTCACATTTCATATAAGGCGCTTATTTTCATGGAAAATCACTTGGCGCGAACGACCGCGCAACCTTGAGTTGGCACTTTGAGAGCATTTGGAAAGCGCATGAACAGACTAGATGCGATTGAGAGCACGCGAAATTCGATATCGCGTCGCAATTCGTAAATGAACTTGAGTATGAGAACCGAAGGCAGGCGAATGGACGAGCGAACGAATTTCGGCCGAGTTAAAATCCTGCCGTGATTGGATAATCCAATGGACGGAGCCGCGTCGCGGGATTATTAGACGGCAAAACAAAGTTTGGCAGCGCCGCAGGGGAGGCGCAATTAGCGAGGCATCGAACGAGCCCGATCAAACAATTGCTTAATGAACAGTAGGCTCTCCAGCGGCGCTCGCTGATCGGGCGCGCGTGCTGCCCGCTGCCGCGCACCGTCCGTCCCGATTCATTACCATTGCACGCGCTACCGCGAACCGATGTAACAGGAAAATCCCATCCGGTCGGTCGCGCGCGTGATAAATTTACCCGCGGCGCGATACGCAGCGGCCGGGGCAGGCCCCGTCGTAAATCATACTTTGGCCGCATCGATTTCCCGCGGAATTGAAAAATAATATCGACTGGCGCAGCAGCGAGCGACTTCTTCCTTCTCCCCGCCGCAGGAATGAAGGAGGACGGGGGGAGGAGTCGCGGAAAAACGCATAAAAAAGCCGAGGCAACGCGACGGCTTCGCTTTATTTCCCATGTCGACCGCGCGGCGGCTTATTCCACGCTCGCCCTTTGAGTGTCGAAGTCGTAAACGTTATTGTGGCTTCGCCCACTGTTTTCGGTTTCTTTCTCTCCGCGGCGCAACATCTCTGTACGCATGTACATTAATTTGTCGGCTCTTGGTGGCGCACTTTCAGCCGAGTGTATAATTACATTTCGATGCGGCGCGGGAGAGGAGAGAGAAAGCTGCCCTTTAAAAAGTGGGTGCCGGTTATCGCTCATCCTTTATTTTCACTTTCTTCGGTTGTTTCATATATCTATATATAAGTACCCGTGGGCTTGGAAAACACGTCTCTGTGCTCTCTAAGGGCGGATATTAAAAAACAAATTAAGCTCTCGAGATCGGAATGGGAGAGTGTATTTCGAAATCCGAGCCTGACTCTCGTATTGTTTCTTTCAATCTGCCGTGCACACAGCCGCGTAATTGACTAGCTATGCAGTGGAGTAGTAACAACTGAGTTTATTCGGCCGTGTGATTCTTAGTTATGACATCATCGCTGCCTTCTTCTATCTGTTTCGGCCGGACGCGCTTCTTATTGGATCGAAGTAGCAGTCGTCGAGTTTCACCGGACGTCCGCCCCCAGTCTTGAGAAAGCTTTCGTCTTTTCTTTGACGAAATAAACTTTCTTTTTCCGAGAATAAGTAAAAATTGAAACTCAACCTCCTCCTTTTTGTCCATCCAATTTCTGTAGTTTCGGTCGGCAAAACATTTGTTTTGTTCCAATCTTATCTTTAGCCATTCAACTGGAAAAGAATGAGAGTTATCTCAAAGAGATTAATTTTCCTCTTGAGCCGAGCTCCAAAACGTGGAATAAAATCGCTCGCAAACGTCAGTTGGTTTTCATTTTTCCGCATTTTTAGCAAGCCAAGCATGAAATTACCGGAGGCTCGGAAAACCAGCTGGACATAGAAACGCGCAAAGCGATTATGGAATCGAAGAAACGGCGAGCTCTTTCGTTGAAAGTAGAGCCGTCAGTGAGCTGATTGTTCCTCGTGAATGATAAGACGAAGCTTTATTTTGCAGCCTGCCAGCAGGTGAAATTCGGCGTACAAGCAATCTTCGGTCCGTCAGATCCGATCCTCGGTCAGCACATCCATAGCATATGCGACGCGTTGGACATACCGCACCTGGAGGCCAGGCTGGACCTGGACTCCGAGGCCAAGGAATTCAGTATCAATCTGCACCCAGCACAAAGTCTCCTCAACAACGCTTATCAAGACGTCATGGCCTACCTCAACTGGACGCGCGTGGCCATTGTCTACGAAGACGATTACGGTACAAAAGACGCCTGTATGTGCGCGTACCCGCGCCGAAAAGCCGAGCTCGCGCGCAGATTCGATCTATTTATGTGAACTTGAGTCCCTCGAGGAAAGTACCGTTTGCTCGGCCATTTGCTTGCGTCTGCTCCTACGCGAACGCCCCGCCCGAAATATTTGCCGCTGCTCGCTGCTCTCCTATCGCTCGGGATATCATCTCCATCGCGCTACTTTTAGAAAGCCTGTTCGAGCACTTCATAGCCCCAGCACCGACAAAAAAAATGCCCCGACTGCGCGCGCGCGCGCGGATATTTGGAGAGTTTCGTTGGATCGATCGAATCTCGCTTTCGCAATGCTTCGAATTAATATAAATCACTCCTCGGCTCCTTTTATTACGTTCCAAGCGAAAATCGTTGATCGCGCACGCGCGCGTCAATAGCCGTGATATCGCGATACTCCATTCATGCGCGTTTAAACATTGATCTTTCGACTGACGGTAAGAGTATCAGACTTACCAAGTACATATTTCCTCGAGTGAGCTGGCTTCAAACGTTGCCGTAGAACTTCAAAATATCCAACTAAACGCGACGCCGGCAAAGATACTTCGAGCCCAGCCGTAGAACTGCTTACGCTACATTTAATATTTACGAACTCACTTGCTACTCCGCTTCCTTGTTACGAGCTTCCAGTTGATCGCTCTCGCGCTCGATCGCAAAGATACGCCATACACGACGACGAGGGCAACTTTTGGCTAAACATAATAACAGTGGGTCTGCAAATGAAAGTTGCTCGTATCGCGCTGCTGCCCGGCGATGCGATTCAATTAGCACGCGGACGAGCGAACTTTGCCTCAGGGCTATTATCTCATGCGCACGTGGATATACGCGTACGACGATATTACACGATCAAGAGTGAGCGAGAGAGAGAGTCGCAAGAGTTGGCACAGCGAACTTGATATATCTGCGTATACGCACGCTCGGCGAATCGCCAAACGAACTTTGCGTCGCCCGTTGTCGATCGGCCGTTTTAAAGTTTCAGCCCAACCAGGCGACGCTGAGCCAGCGGAGCACCGTCGGTCGATCAAGCTCCGCACGCGAGTGCGCGGATTAATTGCTCTCTCTCTCTCTCTCGCTCGTGCCCAAACAAAGCCGAAGCAACGCATCTTCGAATGCACGCAAGCAACTCGGAAGAGATCCGAACTGAGAGAGAGAGAGAGAGAGCGGCGGGGGCGAGGCCTCTTTACGACGCGGAGATAAGCCCGACGAGCTTCATAAAGCGGAACGCAGCTGGAAGGGCCGCGATATGCGCTCGCTCTGCGCCCTCCCGCCCCGAGCTTTACGATAATTTGATGCGCGAGAGCGCGAAAAAAAGAACACCGCGCCTTCCTGTTTTATACTTCTCTTGTCTCCTCCGACTTTCTTTTTCATTCTGCCAACGAGACGTACGATTACGAACGCGCGTGCTCTCAGCCGGGGATTTAATAAAGCTTGCAAACATTTTCATCCACTGTTTATTTGCTTACCTCTGCGAAACAGAAACTCGGATTGCTCTCTCTCTCTCTCTCTCTCTCTCTCTCTCTCTCTCTCTCTCTCTCTCTCTCTCTCTCTCTCTCTCTCTCTCTCTCTCTCCCTCCCTCTCCCTCTCTTTCTGCTTCGAACTGTGAAATAAAAACGAGAAGTTCTCTTCTCTCTTTATGGATGGCGAAGATTTTTATCGCCGAGTCTTAAACGTGACGATTATGAATTATGCAATCGGCTTTATCGAGTTTTACAAAGGCTAGTTCATAAGATGATTTCTGTTGTTTTCGACGCTTATCTTTCGTCTTGATGCGCTATGCGTTTAGAGCGGTAAGAAAATAATTAAAAAGTCGTCAAGAGATCATCGGTAATTATTCGGTACTGACGCTAGTAAAGAAAACGCGCTATTAAAAAATATCGTAATTGCGAAAATCTCCGAATTCATTAGATTTTTCAGCCTTCGTAAAAACTTTGCGTGCTCGAAACATTTGGACATAGAAAGTTTAGCACTCCTCCTTCATTCATCGCCAGCCGATAAAAAGTGCATAAAAAAGTTTTGGGCTTTTAGTGCTGCTCGTAACAAGGCGCGTGACGAAAGCTGTTGATTTGACGTCGCGATGATTTTCCAACTCGAATCGCAGCATAAGCTCGAGCATAAAAATGAGACATTCATTCGCCAGCGACGAATATATTCCGAGCTCGGCTAAGAATCCTCGTATATGAAGAGCAACTAAATCTTGCACATAAAAAAGAACACGCGTGGCGATCGTCGTAAGACTCTAAAAATCCTCGACTCATAAAAGAAAGCTTATCGGACTTATTCTAAAGCCCGCTCATACTCTCCCCCCCCCCCCTCCCTCTCTTTCTAAAAATCGCAATTGAACAATTCAATCACCTACACATATATTCCAATCCCGTAAAATTGAAATTTCTCTCTCTCTTTCAAGGTCTTTTTCTCTTTATCCTCGTTCAAGTACACGCAATTGGAGGAACGCAGGACTCTATAAGCCGTTTACAGAGAGAACTGAAAAATCCGCGACGCGATAAGTATGTTAGCGTGAAAAAGGAAGCTGTCCCCGGAGAAATTATCGTCCTTTTCCTTGCCCACACGCCTTCCGCAACGTCGCCGGCCAATTACAACGCTGCGAGTCGCAGCAGCAGTTTTCCCGGATTTATCGAATTTTTTCCTCCATCGCTCCAGAGAGCTAATGAAGAGAGTGAGCGAGTCAGGGGAGAAGGGCAAAACTGTTTCGACCGCAGCAGCACTCGCTTTCAGTCGAAGAGCGCCTTTTTGAATAAAGTTAGCTTATCAAGTGACGTCAATGGACAGCGAGCCTTTAATCGCGCCCGTGGCCCCGCGATCGCGAAAATATTTAATCGAATTTCTTCGCTTCGAAGCCACCGCGTGTAAACTTTACCTACGCGACGCTGACTCCGCGAGCTTCGGTTGGAATACGTCTTAGCCGCGCGGTGATCAAGAAAATGCTGCTTGTCTCGCCTTCCCGGCGATAAAGTGACTACATCGGCTTAACGCAACATTGAAAAAAAAAAAATAGAAAAAAGAACGTTAGACTCCGAGAATTAGAGCAGCATTGAGTCGCTGAAGCATCGTGAAAAGCGTCATCGAGCGCGTTGTCGGTCGGAAACATCGATTGGCATTGTTAATCGTCGCAGTCCTCAAAAACTCGAGGAAAAAAATATAGTACGACGGCATAGCTAAGCGAGAAGCAAAAAAAAGTGTGTGAATCGAGGCAGAGGAACGAACTCGTGCGCAGAGTCGATATACAATGCAGCGTAGTAGAGAGAGAGAGAGAGAGAGAGAGAGAGAGAGAGAGTGCTAGAGCGAAGACTTACAAGTTGAGATGATACCATGATTACTTAGGCGCGCTTGCAGGTATTGATTCCATCGGGTCGTGCCGTTGCTATTTACGGGTTTCTCACGCGACTTTCGCTCTCTCTCTCTCTCAGTCGCTCTCTTTTTAATAAGGTGACTTCCTGTACACGTGCGTGTGCGTGTGCGTGTGTGTGCGTGTGTGTGCGGGTGCGCGTATATGTGGGCATGAATCAAGAGCGACCTCACTCGCTCGGATTATCTTTCGGCAGACAAGCTCTCTCTCTCTCTCTCTCTCTCCTCTCATGATACATTCAACGCTTCGCGAAATAGCATCTCCCTCTCTCTCTCTTTCTCTCTTGGCTGACCTCTCGGCCCGACTACCACTGGAATCGGGGTTGCAAGTGTGACACACGAACTGAAGGGGAAGAGAGAGAGAAGCGCTTATAAATGTGGGACTCCGAGCGAGAGGGCATTTGACTATTTTCGCTTGGACGCCGATCGCGCACCGCAAGTACATATCGACCGGACGCAGAACAAGAAAAACAAAGAGTCTACCCAGATTTTTAAATAGCTCGTGCTACTTTTTCGCGCTTCATAATCCTTTCAAAATCGCTTTTTCGCGGTATACATCACTCGCTCGTCTTCTTCCTTCTTTTATAAATGTCGCTCGACATTTTACATCGCTTTTTAACGGACGAGTGGGTCTTTGCAATTTATGAAAACAGGAAAGCAGAGGCGGAACGTTTGCGCGTCGGTTTCCGATTGATTTGCGTCATGACATTTTTTATTTTCTTTTTTTTTTGCAGGCTTCATGCACCCCGGCTCACTGTGCCCGTGTATATATACATTCAGCGCGTTTACGACAGCTCGTTCGGAAGCTCGCTAACAAGATATGAAAGTGTACACTAAATTTACTGCAACCCATGCGTGTATAGAGTAAAAAGGAAAAGAACTTGCACGTAGGTTGTCGTAATCGCTGCTGACACAGTTATTTACATATTTAATATAGTCTGATATTGATCTTCGCGATTGTATGTATTTATCCTGTTCAACGCGAATCTGATTGGATTCCGTAGTGGATTTTATTGGCATTCACGATTCACCGTTACGTATTCGATCTATGATTGACCGTGCTTTCGCAGATGAATTATTGCTTGTCAAAGATTAATTTATTGGAATATCTGATCGGTGATAATAATTAGAAAAACGATCGTTTTGTCCATGGAAATCACAGCTGGATATTCCATAGAGCAATTCGAAATGTGTCGAATGTCGTGGTGAAATTGTCGGAGACGTCGTCGTAAAGGCTGAAATCTCCGGTACTGACGTTCTCTATCTATCCATATCCGGCAGGTTTAGTGAAGCTACGGGAGTTGGTGAGGTCACGGAGATCGCAGGACATGGAAATCTATCTGCGACAGGTAGATCTCGAATCTTACAGGCAGGTCCTGAGCGAGATCAAAGCCAAGGAAATTCGCAATCTCATCGTCGACACCAAGCCCGGAAATATGCATCATTTCTTGCGCATGGTACGTTCGACTTTTCTCCCTTGCACGTGCGGGCCAACGGTAGCATTCAATTTCCGTAATTTATTCTGCTCGCAGATATTGCAGCTGCAAATGAACGACTACAACTATCACTACCTCTTCACTACTTTCGTGAGTATCGAGCGAGTGTACTTGGATAGTTGGATGTTGAAGCCGCAAAAATAATCGGCTAGCAAACGTTGTAGAATTCGCTTCGCTATAGAGCATCAATCGTCGCTGTTAGAAAGCTACGACATCGCGATAATTAATGCTTCTGCTTAGCAAGTTAAACGCATTGGGAGGGGATGCCACCAGCAAGGGAAAACTTTACACGAGCCGTTAATTGCACTACAGCGCGAAACGCTAACGAACGCGCACCCATCCGCGCCGTCTGCGTTTACGCCCGTGTAACCTTGTCTGTGCGCAGGATATCGAAACGTTCGATCTGGAGGACTTCAAGTACAACTTTGTCAACATCACTGCCTTCCGACTGGTGGACGCCGACGATGCCGAGGTGCGCGGCGTCCTCAGGGACATGGAGAAGTTTCACGCGCAAGGCAATAGCCTGCTCAACAAGTCGCGAATTATACAGGTCAGTTTTTTCCACGACATCCCTCCTTGGCGGCTACTGCTACGATCGATCTCCCCTTCTACTCGAGAACAAAGCTTGGCGCCCGCTCCTGGATATTCTGCGACCCTTGCCAAACGCTCCTTCCATGTCGCCAGATTCTTTTCTCTCGTCGCTGGATCACTCCGACGAGAGGCTTCCGTTCCGCGCTCGCCCGTCGGCTTGCCACTTCAGCGCGATTTCGACGCGCAGCTAATCGTCATTGCGATCGGAGTTCTCAACCTTCGTCGCGATCGCTTGATTTTAATGATCCCACCTCGACGTTTCCGGGTCGCATTGCCACGTTCACGGTGCAAAATAAAATTTTCGAGCGATTGCGGGCAACGGCGAGCAATCAACGGCATCGGCATTTCGAGACAAGCGCGAAACACATATCCCGCGCACTGCACCGTACCGCGTCAGAACTTTGCTCTCGGGCGAGCAGCGGCGAAACAAACCTACGCGTCGGAACGTCTCAACGGTGGAGCGAGCCAAGTTCGATTGAAAGCTCACCGCCGCGGGGCTAGCGGCTGCCTCGGCTGCTACAATCGCAATCAGCGTCTCGTCTGCGTCGCCGAAGAAGAAGCGGCCTCGCTACAAAGAAGCTTCGCCTCGCATACTGATTGGCCGCGTAACTTTTCCCGCTCGTCCCGGGGGAGGGGTGGGGGAGCTTGTTTACGCTCGATATCGCCGAGCGCCAAACAAACTTCCACCTGTCGACTTGAAATGCTAATCATCCGGCCACGAGAAAAATTCTCCAACTTTTGAGATCTGCGCTCTCGCGCCCGAGAGGTAATTATCTCTGTCGTTACTTGTTCGCGCCCATCGCGCTATGAATCACCGGATAAACTTCCGCTGCTTGCGCCGTAAATCATGCTGTATCTCCTAGTCCGCCTTTCTTCTCCGCTGTTTCGCCTGTTTCTTTTTTTTTCTTTTTTTTTGGTTTTTGTTTTTATGGAGCTTCCAACCTTTATTACGGCCGATGAATCCAAGAAAAGATGCTCGCGGCTACGAGGGCGCGAGGGAACAATCATAGCAAGCTGCGAGTGCGTATATATATGTACGGCTGACGGTCAATTCGACGAGGCAAAGTCGTGGAGAACTTTTCAATTCAGGGATGATCTCGAGCTTGATTTTCCGATAACGAATTCCCGGCGAGAAAATGAATCAATTAATGATCGCAAGGCACCAGGTTTCGCTCTGCTTGTTTGCTTGTTTTTTTTTTTCCTTTTAATTCGTAAATGGCGCGTCGGCTAGCCAAGACTATTTCCATGGCAAACTGAACGTTCAAAGTGTCCGATACATCGACGGGACTCCTCGTTTTTAATTTAAAGTTGCGGAAACGTAGAAAAGGACTTTGAAACGCGGTTACGGGTCTGTCGATCGGATACGAATCGCTCGACAAAAAGGATCTTATCGACGAAAAGTTGCGAAAGCCGCTAATCGACCGTAAAGAATGTAGCTCTTTATACGTGTAGGGACTTAGTCGACTGTAGGTGTGCGTGTGCGGGCGCGGCAAGGTTCTAATTAAAAGCACGCTCGAATTAACCGAGCGAGTAGCACGAGAGATAACGAGCATTCGCCGCCTCGTTCCTTTCCTAATTGATGGCCTCGCGCGAGGAAGGAACAAAGTTCCTTTTGCAAGAGAGAGAGAGAGAGAGAGAGAGAGAGAGACGCACCTGTTGAGGTTCTCTCACGCTACGTCGACGAGCTCACGCGCCATTAAACTTTATTTCCATATCGTCTGTCTTTTTCCTGCTCGAGCGCGTCGTTACGATCGTCGGGCTCCAGTCCGCACTAAAAGTTCAAGTTGGTATCGGCCGCTCCGTCGTCCCTGCTGATAAATCCAAGTCTAGACGATCAATATTGTTTGCGCTAAATAAAAATCGGACCCGACCAATACTCACGCGCTTGCGACGAGAGCAAACTCAATAAACATCCGATCGAGCGGGTCGCGGCTTCAAAAGAGTTTTGCAAACACACAATCAAGCGCGCTCTCTCTCTCTCTCTCTCTCTCTCTCTCTCTCTCTCTCGCTTTCCCTTGCCCCTCAACCTTTATAGCGAAAGCTTCGACAAGGCAGCTATCGCCCAATTATATATATATATATCGATTCACAAAGAAATTGCCCGGCTAGGCCAGCACTCGCGGGCAAAGTAAATAGAGGCCGTTATAAAAATTTTACCTGCGCTAGTTCGCTCGCCGTAAATGGGTTTCGCGGGGGCCGTAAAAACGCAATGTAAAGTTGGCATCCACTCTCGCCCTGCGCGAGCTTCCTCTAAACGCACCCCATTAACGGCATCGGAAAGCTGTCGTTGTAATGCCCTTGCCGCGGAATCGCCGAGCGAATGAAAAAAGCAAACAGGCGCGCGTCGCGATAAACCGTAATAATTCGAGGGCACGCGCGCGGGAGGCCTAATGGATCGCGAGCATATCGCCCGCGCGTCGCTTATACTCGTATGTATAATCCAAAGCCGATCGCTCCCGGCGGCGCTGTCGCGTTAATTGGAAAGTTGTCGGCCGCTCGGCGGACTAATGAAATTTATGCATAATCCACGCAGGCGCGACAACCTGCCCGCGTGCAGCACCTGCTAATGTGCGCGCTGCTTTTTCCTTTTTTCTTTTCGACCCGGCGCGGTTGGCATTTTGACGTTGTTCGCGCGCGACTTTCCGTGGTTGGGTGTCTTGCACCGATTATTTGCATATTATAACGCTAGTCGCGTATCAAAATTCAGGTTTGCAATTTTAGGCCAATGTTATTTGCATGTTCCCTGGGTCGCGGAGAGGGGCGGGATATTTGTAATGGTAAACCACGTAGCTGCGACTCGCAATGAACAAAATGTAATTGAAGATTTTCAGGAAAAAGTCGGTGTGATGCGGTAATAAAATAGATTAAATGAGCGAATAAATTCACTATGATTGATTTGAGCCGAGAAATCAAAACGATATTAAGAAAGTGCGGAAAAAAAAACTCGTCCACTCGTCCGAACGCCTCGAGGGGAAAAGAAAGATGCTCGCAAAGTAGAAAGACGAAGGATAGTACCGGGGGCAAAACAAGTCGGAATAAGGCGCAGGGTCGAATTGTCTGAGCTCGACAAGATATCAGGCCGAGTAAGCAAAAGCAAAAGAGCGGAAGGGAGCGGCGTGACCCTCAGGCTGGGTGCCACGCCACTGCTAAAGCTTTGAGAGTGAGAGAGAGAGAGAGAGAGAGAGAGAGAGAGAGAGAGAGAGCAGGCATCGACCGCAAGTCCGGGAGGCAAAGCCTCACTCATGTCCGTGTCAACACTCAAATATGCATAGGGTTAATCCTGCATATTTGGCTTGCCTATACGAGTAGTTTGAGGCCGCAGCGCCGCGCGCCCGGGAGAGAAGCTTGCTGGCGCCGAGTAGCGTAACCTACGAATTACACGCTCGCGCGCGCAACCGCCAGCCCACGTATACACTTGCGTGCCCCGAATTATTAACGCTTTTTCCGCCGAGGCTAATCCCAAAGACATTTTCATTGATTTATCGCCGATGCTCTTGGGGGCAATCTATCCTTTTTATTTTTTCATTCACGTACCTGTTTTATTGCCAGTCGTCACAGACGTAACAACGAAACGAAATGAAATTTGGAATATTTGTAAATCGCCTAAGAGAGCGCCTAGGAAATTGCGCGTGCTAGACAATTTACAACGATTTCTTAATATAATGCCAAATATTTTTCCTAAAGTGATTTCATTCAATTCCACTAGTATTAACTGTAATGTAGCTCCACCACTGTAATAATATCCATTATCCGGTAGATGAAAGCGATTGTTTTGTACCGTATCGATGAATTGGTTTTGCACTCTAAATATTTTCTCACTTGTCGTATTACATAATCATTCTTATGATAGAACCATGCATTATTACTTTCTCGCAAGAAGCTTTTACGGATTTGGTCTTACAACTGATGATCGTACAACAGTGTAAAAGATACTTAAAAACGCGACGCATGATTTGATCGCAGCCGCAGCTGTAAACAAAAATCGAGCTATTCGCGCGTAAAAGCTAGCTAAACGAACGAGGCACCGGGGCGAGCAGGCAAAATGTACTCTCGAATCCGTCAAAACAATCAGCGCCAGTGATCGTTATCTCAATCAATATTTGCACAAGCGCCGTCGCCTCGAGTGTCGGCGAGCGAGTCAGCGGCACGAGCACTTAACCTTGCCTCTGCCACTCGAAGCTCACCATCGAAATTCATCGAGTGCGCGCAGGACGCGATTTCCATCCGCTTGCTTTTTGTTTTGCTCGCGCGCCGTCGCCGAGAGATTAATATTCGTCGCGTCTTTTCGACGGCTCCCGGTCGAATTTACGAGCGAGGCGAAACTCCCCCCGCGCGTCGAGAGAGAGCAAGTCAGATTCATTATGCCGAGTGCAATTGAACGCGGCGAATTCTTGACGCGCTGCTTCTGCTGCTGTCGTTGGCGGAAATTGTGCTGTTCGAAAAGGGAAATGAGAGGTTTGCACGCTCGAACTGCGTGTAATTTCTTAAGACTGGAAAAGAGTTTGATTTCCACTCCCCCTAACCCCCTCCCCCCTGTTGGCTTCGCTCTCCGCCCTGATATCTACGCGAGAAATTATAATTACGCGCTGCCTTTTAACCGAGAACTTTCGCGTTTTCTCGCCTGGCATTGCAAGTCGGCTTTGCAACGTTTGACGATGGAGCCTTGCCTTGACAACTCTTATGAAACCTATCGGCGACAGCAAAGACGTCTCGCTCTTTTTCTTCGCCACCCCTGTCTTTTTCCGCCCGCGCGTAACGTGCCATTGTCTCGCTGCTGCTGAGAGCTGAATAGTCTCGCTGGAAAGCTTCTTTTTCGAGGACCCAACGACAGATCTCTGCTTGTAACGACGTCTCGTTCTAGTCGTCGTTTGTTTGTTTAGGGTCCGCTACACCGGTTGCGCAAACGTGCTCTTTGAGACATATTTATTGAAACTGAGAAGATGTATTTTTTTCTCTAACAAAGGAACTATCCCAACTCGACCCCACCGATTTTAATGATTTTTGGATATATTGTTATACTCGAAAAATATTCGTCACGTGTTTTTTTTATCGGCTGACATCCACTTTTAAGGGATGAAATCCACCCCTGAAAACTACCCCGAAAAATGGTTTTTTTAATATATCTCTGCATCTAATGAATATTTTTAAATAAAATCAACGCCAAAATATTTCTTATAAGTAGGTGCTTCTACTGATATGATTTTATTTAAAAATATTCATTAGATGCAGAGATACATTAAAAAAACATTTTTCGGGGTGGTTTTCAGGGGTGAATTTCATCTCTTAAAAGTGAATGTCAGTCGATAAAAAAACACGTGTCGAATATTTTTTCAAATATTACAACATATTCAAAAATCATTCAAATCGGTGGGGTCGGGTTGGGGTGGTTCCCTTGTAAGAGAATTGTCACGCCAATGTATTGTTAACGAAATGAAAGAATATACGGAAATACTTCTCAATGAAAGCTAATGACTAACTACGCTCAAATCTTTTGAAAATTAAACGTTCCTTACGAAAGATGAAAAGTTACTAAACATATTTGTAAGACTTTTTAGCGATTAGCTCTTTAATTATATTAGAAAGAAAAATGACTTGCATATCAAGATTTTCATCTCATCAATTTATAAAAAAAACAAAAAACTATAAGAAAAGTAAAGACTTTGCAATTAACGCCACACAGACACACGTATTCCCCATAAATTCACTTAGAAAACTAACACCTTCATTTATGGGCACTTGTACTATAACGTAACATAACGTGTTAAATGTTTACTTATATCATTAAATTTCAGTCGACAAATTTTGTCGTTCACGCTCAATCGGACATAAATAATGGAATCATAAAAGTAGTACAGAGAGCAGAGACAAAGCTGCAGGTATTTCAGTCAATTACCGTCCTCGCACGTAGGACGCGTGACATAGCTTGTCCCCTAGGTCACTCAAAGGCAAACTGTATTGATTTGGTGGATGTCACGATGAATTTTAGAGCAAAAATCTACACTGCAATATAATTATCACGAAACCAACACAAACACCAAATCGAATAAAATAAGAAATGCATTTGACGCACCAGAACCAACACGCAACACGTACACATATACACACACAGTAACCTTAGTATGGTTCAGCCAATTAAGCACGGAGAGCCATCCTAATTAACAAATGTTACAGGCAGAAGCAGCGCTGATATACGATAGTGTGCAGGTGTTCGCGGTAGGACTGCGTACCCTGGAGCAGTCGCACGCACTTAGGCCGATGAACATCTCGTGTGAATTGGAACATCCGTGGGACGGTGGACTCTCACTCATCAACTACATCAACACGGTACGTGCCAAACTTTTCTTCCTCCCTTGGCTTCTTTTTTTTTCAAAGTCAGATACTGCCGCTGCTTCTGCTGTGCCGACGACGTGAGTTATCACTCGATGGCACTATGCCAAAACGTTTGCTTGCCTCTCTGTGTCACCCCCCCCCCCCCCCAGCCATTTTTTTTGTTTTGAAGCCTCTAATTTTCAAGGTGGAGGGAATTTATTTATTTGGTCGTTTGATGAACGACGCGTCGCCACCAGAAAAAGGCTTTTGGTTTAAATAAAAAGCGACACGCGACGAGACAGTCGCTCTTGTCCGCGCGCATCGATGCGCATTTTTCGATTCGCTTCGTTCGAGAAAAAAAGCTCTTTTGTGTTCGTGGAAGCGTGTTGCTTTATTGTTACGCTTTTTGCAATCTTTCCCTCTCCCTTTTCTCTCGCGTGCGCGCGCGTGTGTTTTCTCGCGCCACGAATAGATGTAATTTGATTTGGCGCTCGTGAAATTGCCGGGGATTAAGGAACTTTTGCCGGCAATGTTGTCGCGGCACGTGACCTTTTATTCGCTTGATAGTTTTGTGTGATTATTCGGAAATGGAAACGCACGGCTACTTTGTAATTGGAAAGAGGGAATGCCGCTTCTTCGGGAATGTACTACGCAGTTCGGAGTACTATCGTGCAAGGCAACGGCTGCCTTGTAAAATCAAGTTCGGTGTTGCGCACGAAAGCTTCCATTTGTTTACATTTAAAGAATTGTTTCTTTCCACGTGTATCCGCGAGTGTATCCGTGTTAAATATTTGGCTTCGAAAACGAAGAGCGTCAATTCCGCGCTAGTATTTTACCCGATCGTTCGCTATTTTTGAATATGAGTCGTAACGGTCGCGTTTAACATTTAACCCATCACTCAATATTCTACTCCCATTTCTCGTTACATCTCTTTCCACTATTGGATGTCAGTTTTTGACGCAGTCGTCACTGTATACAGCTAAAATTGTCACTCATGCTAAATATTTCGGAAGAATTGGTCATTCGATTACAGCTTTCAATCAATTTCTACGAACGCAAAATCGCCCTAAAAGAAAATTGCCTCTCGTAGTATCATTCAAACCAGTTTCCCAAAAACCGTTTCATTCGGTCGCAAAGACCGCAAATAGTTTGTATGGTAAACTTGGACCCTCGTAAAAGAAAGAGGAAGAAGTATCGCCATCCGATCGGGATAGGGGGGGGGGGCGGCAATTGTTGGTCTTCGTCGTCGATAAAATCTTCCTACGCGTGTTACTGCGGGCAACTCATGCTGAACGCGATAGGCAAGGATCGATAAATTTTTGGGCGAAGCACTCGACGTATCCCTCGGCTCGCGAATAATGCGCGCGTGCGTGTGTCGCGGGGCCAGTGGTTGGTCGTCTAGGTAACGCCGGCAGTGGAATTCGAGAGAGAGAGAGAGAGAGAGAGAGAGAGAGAGCGGCGATGACGTTCCGCGCGCACGCGGGGAAGAGAATTAATCTCTCGTCGCGCCGGCCGCAGTTACATCTGGGCGCGCGAGGAAAATCATAATTATGGTAACGAGGGCGCATGCATATGCGCCAGCGCATTAGGCGACGGCCTCTCGTTTCAGCGGCGCCGCCGAGCGCGATAATAAATTGCGAGCGGCGCGCGCGCGCCGACGCTCGGGCTATTAGCGCTGCAAGTGCCCGTGGCAGGCGTCGGTATCGACGCTCCCCGGAATGTCAAGGTGCATTCCGAGCCTGGCAAGAGGAAAGGCGACGCCAGCTACGGAGCGTGCCGCAACCTCGTACGAGCGCTTGCTCCGGCTCGCTAATGCCACGCGCATTGGCACCAGGACGACGATCGAACGCCAATTTCCGCTCCCATCCACGGCCGATCCATTAACTCGCCGTCGACGGACTGGGCGATATTCACGGCGGACGTCGGCGTCAGCGGCAAGCGGGACGACCGGCGAGGGACAAAAGTCGACGCGATCGAAGCAAAGTTGACAATTGATAATAATCGCGCGCCGGCCGCGGCTGCAATATTGCGATTGTGCGGCGTGCGTACGCCGAAGCCAAATCGCTCGAACGTGATTTACCGCGCGAGGAAACTCCGACGCGCCAAGTTAAATTGCGCTCCGAGCGCGATACAGCCGTTGCGAATGATTTCTAATTGACGCCTCGTCTTTTGCCCGCGGTACGGAGCTCGCCATCGGGGCCGTGACGCGCAACTGCCAATTGCCGAAATGCCATGTGGCAAGCTTAGCCCGACTCGCGCGCGAATTCCGCGCACGGCCTTACATCGGCCCGGGTGATCGCGGCCGTATCCATGGTTCGACGCGTGCTCGCGTATCGCGTGTCAATGGGCTTGTCAGCAGGACTCTCTCGCTCTCTCGCTTCGTTATTAGCACTGCATAGGCAATGGTGCGCGCGCGAACAGTTCCACTGCTGGTTTTAGGCTCCCCTTGGCGTGGATTATTCCTCGATTCGAACGCGATTAATCGAGCGACGAATTTCTTTGCTGTTATCAAAGCTGTTGAGAGCACGCATTGCCTCAAAGATGCGGCTTGTCGAGAGAATATCGCGCCGATCTTCCAAACGTGTTCAGCGTGTATCGATCACATTTTCTCCGAGGCGCATTAAAATTTGGCCGTAAGGGGGCCGCCAGGGATTGCCTTATTTCGACTTAATAATCTCGTCGGAAATTCTCGCCGACATCGAACCATATCAAAGAGAGCGAAACTCGTAATCATCCGCTTGGAGGATTGAGCCATTCTCTCGCAACTCAAATCTCAAGTCCTCTCGAAAGTTATGAGCTTGAGCGACATTGTCGAAAATCCGTTCGCTTAATTGCGCCCAAAGAGACTTCATTGGCGGGGCGCGGCGCGGCGCGCGGCGCGCGTCGGCGAAAAGTTTCGCCACGCCGCTAAAAAAAAGAAAGCACCAAGCAACTCCTCTTCACCGCGAGCAATTAAATCAATTCATTAACGGTGCACGCGAAAAAGAAAGGGGAGCGCCGCGAGCGAGATAAGGAATAATTATCGCTCGAAAGATGTTAAGCTACTGCCTTCTCCCGTCCTCTCTGCTAATTAACCGAGGCTTAAACTTTTTCTTTCGTTACTTATCCGAGTGTTCTTGCTACGGTTGTTAGCCGTAGTTTCAATTTCAGGCGCAAATGTATAATGGACGCGCGCGAGAGAAAAAAAAGAAAATTAAAAGCACCGTAGAGAGAGAAGATTTATAATGGCTGTAATTCTAGTCTTTTTGTCGCGAGCATTCATCGCTGTTATCAGATTTATTGCGATTTTGCCGGCAAGCATTTTTATGACATATTGTAAATTGCCGAGTGCATGTATTTACGTGAGAGAGAGAGAGAGAGAGATAGAGAGTCAATGCACAATGCTTCACAACGAGAAGAGTTTTTACTTCGCGTGTGCGTCTGTGTGTATGGGTGGTTAAAAGCAATGTGATTCTAGACGCATTTTGAAATTGGGCATAATTTTTTATTCATCTCTCTTCTTACACATAAACGCACAGTTGGATTTTTTAGATAAAGTCGAGAGCACGATATGCAGCAATAAAGTATAATAACAGTAAACCGTTGAAAGCTCTGATCATATTCAAATATGTAAAACGATTGGTCCTTTCCAGCTATGTAATCCTCAAATGCAAAGCATCCTCTTCAACGTTGCTGTAACATCTGGCTGTATCGAAAGGCTGCCTTATACCTAGCGTACAAATTGCACGCCACGTAAAAACCAGTAATGCAATCAAAAGTGCGCGACTCCGGTATTGCTCATTCGATCGGCACGAGTCAATTAAAAGAGGAACAAAGCAAGCTCCGCGGGCTCGTAAAGAAGCGGGAAAGGCACGCCGGACAAATGACATTTCGAGCGAATTGACGAGGCGGCTGCTGTGCGGGCTTGGAATTCATTAAGCCGCGAAATTGAAATAACAAACGGGCCGAGGCCGCGAGCGTCGATTTTTCCGGGCGTATCGACATTGTCAATCGGGAGCATCGATGCTCGCTGCGCAAAGTTAATTTCGTTCGGGACAGTGGAACGCAAGGAACACTTTCTTTCGCTCGAGGTGCGCGCGGAGAGAGAGAGAGATCTATCGGGCCACAGTAGAGAGGTGTTCGTCGCTTAATCACGAGATCGCGAGGGCGATGCAAACGCGATGTAAACTCCGGCCGAGAAAGAAGTCTCAGCTTGCTACTCTCTTTACTCGTGCTCGTTACCTCGTCGCGCTTGCTTTTTAACGCTCTTCCCTCGTAAATTTGAACTCTTTGAGCGAGCAAAGACGCTTAGGGGCGCGGTTTTCGTTCGGTCTGCTGCTTCCTTGATGGCTCTCGTCGGGATTGTTGCTTATCGGAAAGCTTTCGAGATCTGCCGTTTTAGCTGTCGTTCATAGATCGCTCAAACAGTTTGGTTTCAGCTCGTCGAGCTCGTCGTAACAGCTGGCCTGAATATTACGGGTATCATTAAGTCGCCGCTTAACGGCTTTCGCCGGAACTTCATTTTTATCACAATTCTCGACGAATATTTATTGGCAACCACGGCCACGGAGAAAAATTGTCTTCCACTTGCTCAAGTGACAGCAGAAGTAGCAGCAGAACGTGGACTTGACTTTCAACGCGAACTCGCGCCTCTCTAGACTGTATAATGATGACCATCGCTCATCTTTGTTCGCACACAGGTGGACAGAAAAGGGATTTCCGGGCCCATAGGTTTCAAAGAGGGCCGCCGGATACAATTCAAGCTGGACTTGCTCAAGCTTAGGCAGCAGTCGCTGGTCAAAGTACGTTTGCACACATACACGGATCACATACGCGCGCGGATTCACAAACCTTGCCTTCCTCGCGCGATTAAGCGATTCCCTTTATTTCCTCGCACTTTATATCTCTTGGCTGTAGGTAGGCGAGTGGAGGCCAGGTTCAGGAGTCAACATCACGGACAAGTCGGCATTCTTCGAGCCCGGCGCCACCAACGTCACCCTCGTGGTCATCACCATTCTCGTAAGTAGATTTCTCACTCGCCATTCTCCCTTCCTCTCGCTCTCGCGAGCGTCTCTCGTGAATATGCATGAGCCTGCCGCGCGCGCAGACCCGAATTAGCTTTTTAGCTGTGATAAGTTCGTTTCGCTCGTTGTCACCACTGCCGACTCGCTAAGGTACCTCAACGAATCCTTTTTTCGTTTGCTGCTTTTCATTGAAAATTAAGACGACGCTCGTTACCGTCGCCAAGATGAGCTCGTGATTCGATCGAGAAACCGTTTTAGAATGTTCCTACGAGATTTTTCATCGCTCGTCGAAATTCCAGGGCCGATATTAGAGGAGGAAGACTCGCACGCGCGCACGACGGCGCGGGCGTAAAAGAAACTTAGTTGAGCCGTATACCGCGCGTCTTCGCGTACACATAGAGTCTCGGCAACTCGGCGAGTAAAAAGAAACCGGGCGGCGAACTTGCAGGGAGAAAGCCGAAAAGCGGCGCACCGTAAAACACACGCGGACGCTCCTCGTAATGGTAACTAACGAAAATGGGCCGAAGATGGCCGGCTAGCTTGGAAACTTGGCAAAATCGATGGGTTCAGCCCGGCGTAGGCTTTATTAGATTTCCACGCGGGCGCATGTTTACGAGGTTCGTTCTCTCTTTCTCTCGAGCCAATATTCGTGCCGTGGAAAAAAAAAGTTTTCCTTTTTTTTCTTGTTTTTTAACCTGCTACTCGTCTGGTTTACGAGCTACTATAGGCCACTACCGCGTATACATCACTCTCTTTCTTCTTCGCGCGCGCGATAAAGCCAGCGCGCCTGCTGTCGTGCGAGAAGGTATGCGGACGAATATATGACGACGTTTGCATACTGCTCTATTTTTATTTACGGACTCCTTCCGTGGAGAAGGAAGAAAAAGGATAAGGGTATTTATGTGCGGTCGTTCGCGAATTTGCACGCGCGCTTCCTTTTGCAACGATATATAAAGAAGTACTTATGAAAACTGACGATTAGGCGCGCGCGACCGTGGCTTTTGCCTTTTTTTTTATCTTCCTCGCCGACGGATCACCGTCACTCTGCGCGCGTCGCTCGCGCGATAGAGTTCGCTTCGGGCGCTCTTTTTTTGTCCGCTCAATTGCTTTCGGATTCCATGCGCGACTCTCGATGGGACGTCGATTGGGCTACACGATATTTAGCTCTCCTAAATCGAGAGGAGCGGCTTTTAAGCCGCTGCTACGCTCTCACTTTCGCTTCCGTGCTTTGTCACCGGCAAACATAACCGTTTTAAATCGACGAATTACACTTGACGCCGCGTTCGTCTATGTTTTCTGCTTTCGACGATCAATAAAATTCCTGTTGCAAAGATCGAAGGCTCATCGGTATCACAAGTAGAACTCACAAGTAGAGCAGATAAACGCTATAGTCAGGCGCGATCGAAGCGCAAAACGAAAAGATCGCCTGTTTTCAAACGCGAAATTACGCCACGACAAACTATCGCGGCTAATCAACACAGGCACGCGCGCGAAGCAGAAGTTAGCCGGAGGCATACGTGCAAGCGATGAAACTCTGTTCCTTTATTGTGCCGCACGGGTGCAGCGAAGAGGGGGAATTGCAAGAGGAGGCCAAACGTCGTACGCGTGCGCGTATGATGAAAAGCGCTCCATTGGCTTCGTTTCATTTTCGACCCTATCTCTCTCTCTCTCTCGTTCGTTAAACCGTTTCGCGATATTAATTTGGCCGGACTTCGTGGACGCTTTTATTTCGATGACATTTAACTTTCAGCCACGCCGTGTAAATTTTTGCGCCAGCGCGTGTGTACGAATTAATCGCGTCGCGCGTACGACAAGAGAGCGAGCTGGAGATTTCGGCTTTAATTTCAAGGAAGGAAATTATTTCCGGCGATAGTGGTTATTCACGGAGAAGCGTACGCTAATCATGGCGCACTTGATGCTACCCGAGAGAGAAAGAGAGAGCGAGAGAGAAAGGACGAGATACTTCAAAACGGGCTGCGGACTATGTAGTGGGTACTTGAAGCTTCATCCCCTTCCTCTCCACTTGAAGATTAAAACTTCATATTAAACCATTAACGTCGGGCCTCTGTAATTACTGCTTCTTCATTTTACGAGAATATAAAGCACTCAGCGCGGGAGGGGCCGAGCGCGACATCGTAAAAAAGTCATCTACAGCTATGAACCCGCGATGATTAAGGTTTTTGAAATGCCAGTCGAGTGCCCACTTTTAACGAGAGAAATGCGTATGCAGCATATTCCACGTACAAAGCGTTCCGCGCGCTCGCGCGAAAGATCAACTTTTGCGTTTTCGTTGTTTTCTTACTTGTTTTTTTTTTCTCGTATTCGAAAAAAAGTTGAAAATGAATAGCCTCGCTGGAGCGTGTTCATTAATTTTCAATTCGGCGAAAATTTAACGTATCGAGCGTGATTAATCGATCGTCGTTTTTGTTGTCCCGAAATCATATGTATTTTTTATCGGAAATTAATGATTGAAGTATACGTATGTATGATAATGATGTGAATTCGAACGTTAATAAAACCTTTCTTTCGCCACGTTATCGGTGCGCTTTAACATTTTACGCTGAACGCGTCGTTTTTAAACGCACGATGGACATTATCTGCAATCTGCAGAATTCCTGATGCGTGGATGTAGCGAACATCGAGGGATACTGAATTACCGCAAATTCAAGCAATAAACTTTTAGGTACGACGTTACTTGTAATTACCAACTTGACTGCGTCATCGTGATAACTGTCGACAACGTTGTCGCGGCAAATTTTTCGATCGCTTTCTAAAGCTAAGAATATCGCTGGTTATAAAATGCATATTCATACGAAAAGAAAAAATCCTGCAGTACGCAGAGGTTCAATAGAAAGTGCGCTTTTTGTAGGAAACCCCATACGTGATGCTACGGAGCAAAGGCAACTTTAGTGGAAATGATCGCTACGAGGGCTTTTGCATCGACCTGCTCAAGGAAATAGCGCACATGGTCGGCTTTGCTTATAGTATCGAGCTTGTTCCGGATGGCAAGTACGGCGTCTACGACTACGAGACGGGCGAGTGGAATGGCATCGTCAGGCAGCTCATGGACAAGGTGATGCGATAAAACTGCCCTGCTTGCAATGTTTTTCGTAGGCCAAGTTTGCGACTGATGAACGTCGCGATGCTTCCTTCAAAAGCGCTTTGCTTCGTAATAACAATCGGCGGCTTTAATACTTGAGATCGTTTAGAAAACACTTGTTGAATGAATACCGTTGCATTTATTTTGATGGATAAATCGATCCGAACAAGCAGTTTCTCCTCGATTTCCATTATGAAATTTTAATGGGTTGTTTTCCGCCACATCCAAATAAAACAATGGGTTTCCAAGATAAACGCAGTCGAGATGGTTTCACAATTAATTCCCGACAGGAAACACATCATAATTAAACCTTCCGCCAACCATTAGCATATCTTCCCTAACGAAAAATAAGATTAAGAAAAAGCACATCAGCGTAAAAAGTCGGGCAATAGGGTATTCTTGGGAATGCGACGTAAAATCGAACGGGCATCGGTGGTTTCGCATTCAGAATAATAAGACGCTTTGCCCGGGTAAACGTAGTTGGAAGAAGCAAGTACCTCTCGTGAATTAAACAAAGGTTCTCGTCCGTTCGTTAGAGTCGCATCCGGAATTCAGATCGCAGAGAGGTAGAGAGCATACAATGCAAATTTGGCAGCGCAACAGCGGGCCACGCGTTCAAATACAGCGGCAGCAGCTCGGGAGCGCGAGCCGCGATGGAAACATTTAAAAGCCCGTCGCATCGGAGCGAGTCGATCGTCCATCGACGCCTTGTTACGACGACCTGCATACGCCTGAGCGATGGCTTTCAGCGACACGGCTAAATTCGCGGGGACGTTCCAAGCCGACGCTCGCGATGCTTCCGATCGATTCGACGCACCGTCCGTTCGTTTCCTTTGATGCCGGCGACGACATGACGACTGCCAAGCCGGACTCTCTCAGGGCCTGACTTTTTCACTTTTCGAGCGAGCTCGCCAATCAAAATCGCTGCGCGCCTTCGCCCGAATGAAATCAGTGCGCGCGGCTATCGTCACAAGTGTCGATAAAGCAATCGAGCCGACAATTTGTTCGATCCACGCGCGCTCGCTACGCTTTAGCTTAACGAACGAGCGATATCGATTACCCAGTTTTTCGCGCCTGTCATAAAATATCTGACGAGAGAGGCAAATATGATGCACGGCTCGCGTCGGGGCGTGTCGATGGGACGCAAACGAGGCGCGCCGGCAGCCGACTGATGGATTAAAAAGAGAAAACACGCCGAGCGAATTTGCACGGGCGGAAGTGAAAATAAACAGCGAGCCGCGAGTAAATCGAACGAGCCCGCGAAACGTCGCCAACGTGAAAGATGACGAATAGTCGTCGCGGTCATTATTTGTTTTTTTTTTCTTTTTGCGGGATGATCATTAATAAAGCGCGCGGGAGAGAATCCGACGCGCCGAGATTTGCGCCCCTGCGGACTTGACGAAAAAGCCACGGAGCGTCTCATATTTCAACTGCTTATGCCACTGACGCCGGAGAAGCAGAGACGGAGAAATATGGTGGCGCACTATCCGCGAATTGTGTTTTTGAGACGCCGTGCGCGCGCTCGCGCGTAGCGAAATTTTCCCCGTCGACGAGTCTTCCCATGGATTTCAATCGATATTTTCACATTATTCACGACTCGCGATGACTGCGAACGCGGCACCGCTCGAGGTTGGATTTCAGCGAGAACGCAACCGAAGTGATTTCTTTGCGGAGACGTTCTTTAGAACTTTTCGCAGGGAAGCGCCAAGTTTCGTTCTACGAATTTTACCTCTGGCAGATTCACCAATGAAAATTCTAACGTAAATTTATTGCTCTGCCGCAAACAGAAAGCAGATCTAGCCGTAGGCTCAATGACGATCAACTACGCACGCGAGAGCGTGATAGACTTCACCAAGCCGTTCATGAACCTCGGTATCTCGATCCTCTTCAAGGTAAGTCTCCTAGACAGAAAAGAAAGCACCGAGAGCCGTGGCAGAGAAGAGAAAAATGGCTCGTTACTCTCGGGCACTTAGCCGTTGTTGTGATGGATATACCGCGGTAAAAGTAAAAAAGTTCAGGGTGTACACAAGTCTAATCAGCTTTGAGACGTTTCCTTGAGAGAGAGAGAGAGAGAGAGAGAGAGAGAGAGAGAGAGAGAGAGAGAGAGAGAGAGAGAGAGAGAGCGTCTTTAATCGCAGTAAATTGACCACTCGCGCGCAATTAAGGCGACCGCTCTCGAGGCTCGTCTTACTCAAAGGACACACCAAAACTGCGCGAGTCTACCGTTGCCACGGGCTACGGCGACGATGAAATTTAACGGAGACGGATTACGGAACGGCCAAGTGGTCCCCGCGCTAACTTTGCTTATTAGTAATATTGAGTTATCGCTACGAGCGTTAACCTCGTTTCAATATTTCACGCGCTTGAAAGTCAATGCGTGCCTAATTGTACACCACGCGCTGACTTTGACTTTTTAATTTGACGCTCTGTGTAACTCTTGCAATGTCGCAGCTGAGAAACGGTGCATGTGACGACGTACAATTCTTCAGCAATAATTAAAGTGATTCGTAACTGTCCGGCACTAATCAGCGAGCCCTTGCGACGTTTAGGTGCCGACGAGTCATCCCGCGCGCCTCTTCTCCTTCATGAATCCGCTGGCGATAGAAATCTGGCTGTACGTGTTAGCCGCCTACATCCTCGTCTCGGTGACGATGTTCGTGGTGGCGCGTTTCTCGCCCTACGAATGGAACAATCCGCACCCGTGTCACTCGCAAAACTCGGATATCGTGGAGAATCAATTCTCCCTGGCCAACAGCTTCTGGTTCACCATTGGTACGCTCATGCAGCAGGGCAGCGACCTCAATCCCAAGGTTGGCAAAACCGCGCCGACGAATAAATTTTCGACGCGCCTCTATTTCCCCTCCGGGGCGTTATATTTACGTTGAGCTAACAACGAGCTTTTCATGACGCTGCGGCGCGACGCGCCTCTCCGTTTTCTTTCGCAGGCTACGAGCACGAGGATCGTCAGCGGGGTCTGGTGGTTTTTCACGCTCATCATCATCTCCTCGTACACGGCCAATCTCGCGGCTTTCCTCACCGTCGAGCGCATGATCACGCCTATCGAGAATGCCGAGGATCTTGCCAGTCAGACTGACATCTCGTACGGGACGCTCGAGAGTGGCAGTACCATGACATTTTTTCGGGTAATTTTTTTCTACCGTCTTACACCTACACGCGAGCGAGCTACTATTTTTTATAGTGTATACATTATTATGCAGAGCTTAGAGCTTGAAAGCTTTGATAAATCGAATGATGATAAGCAGAATTTTTCACCTACAACACATTGCTTGACTTATTTATCTTCCATATAACTAAATTTTTATTGAATATCTGCAAATATTTCCAACAGGTACCTTACTTATAGGCGATACTTTTTTATTAAAATGATCGTTATCTTCACGGATTCCGTTACATCGCTAACATTTTCTTGATAGTAAAAAATAACTGTGTTAGCGCAATTTTTCATATTGCTCGATATTGGAGATTCTCGTATATCTCTTTTTTGGAATTTTGGTATGTGAAAGCTTGATTGTTACACAAGGATTCGATGATCGAGACTTACAAAAAGATGTGGCGATTCATGGAAAATAAAAAGCCATCCGTGTTCGTTCCGACGTATGAAGAAGGAATCAAGCGAGTTCTTCAAGGTAATTATGCGTTTCTCATGGAATCGACGATGCTCGACTACATCGTTCAAAGGGACTGCAATCTCACACAAATTGGTGGCCAACTAGATAGCAAAGGTTATGGAATAGCAACGCCAATGGGTGAGTGCTAACGACTGCTTTTTATATTTGACGAAATATGCGGGAAAAGAAAGTTTTAACAATTATATAAAAAAAAATCGACGATTTCAGGCTCGCCGTGGAGAGACAAAATCTCGCTGGCAATTCTCGAGCTGCAGGAAAAAGGCGAGATACAAATTTTATATGACAAATGGTGGAAGAGTCCGAGCGTTACTTGTATGAGGAACGACAAAGACAAAGGGAGCAAGGCCAACGCGTTGGGTGTTGACAATATAGGTGAGCAAGCGAGTGCATCTCATTATGCCAATCAACCTCGGAAACCGGCCCTTTTATTAACCAGGATCTTTATCACGCAGGTGGTATTTTCGTCGTGCTACTGTGTGGATTAACGTTCGCCGTGCTGATCGCCATTTTCGAGTTCTGCTACAACTCCAAAAGAAACGTATCCGTTGAACGCGTGAGTATCGCACCGAGCACTCTATCGCCATCGTTTTCTTTTTTTTTTTTCATTCCGCATGTTCGCATGGCTGATTACTGTTTAGCAGCACGATGATTTCGACATCGATTAGTGAGAAACTGTAGAGGCCGTTTAGTTATCGTTGTTGTCTTGGCAGTGAAACGCAGGTGAGAATTAGTGCTGTGTCATTATTTATCGATCACGACATTGTTACATTCGTGCAAAAATTCTTAGCTTGTTAATTTTGCAAGGGCAATTGTAAAAGAAATTCTTTATCATTTTTGTTTATGTCATCATTCAATGGATGTTAAATTGTGCGTAAGACTTTCATTACAGCGCATTCGGAGTTTTTAATATGTATGATAAATGACTGAATTTCGCTCCTCTCTAGAAAAAAGTCTTTTATGGTGCGTCAAAAGTTTGCGAAACGGAATTAATTAGAGAAGGCTGTAAAAGTCACTTCTGCATTCTTGGAAAGAGCATAGTTTTCATACATTCTAGTCTCTGGGACTTTCTTTCTTTTCTTTTACTTATTTATTTATATTTTCTCTTTCTAAGGGAGACAGAAAAGCTTTTTGCGAGCCAAAATTAATTAATCTGATACACGTCCAGAGGCAGGAATTGCCAGAAATGCATAAGACTTTTCTTCGTATTTTAAATACACGAAATAATAGCGTTACAAAAGAAGAGGATTTCTTTCACAATAAATCTTATTTTCTAGTATTAAAACTTTGGAATTTAACGTTTTGATCTGATTGCAGAACGTAACTTGCAAACGAATGAACATTAATAAGATTTTTTTTTCTACTCAATAAGATCTTATAATGTCAATTTACATTGCCAATATTTGGATGAGTTTCATTGTCATGCAATAAAAACATCTCTTGTCGCATTCCGCATTAAATTCTGAAATTCTGAAAAAATGAATTTGTCGTTGGCGATTATACAGCAAAGTAGCCCGCTAGCTCCACCGACGCGTTCAGGCTCTCTACAAGGTCTGCCGGAAAGTACAGTGGCGTCACAGAATGGTCAGCAGCAGGAGTCTTTGTGCTCGGAAATGGCCCGTGAGCTGTGTCGAGCGATACGCTGTCACGCGTCATCGCGCAGGCGGAAAGCTTGCGAAAAGTGCTCCAGCCATATCGTCGGCTATTCCATCGACAACACCATGCCAACGCCGATCAATGGGGTGAGCTGCTCGAAATTTCTCCGCCTTTACTCAAACCGAGCGCGAAGAACTTTGCGGGACAGATGACGAATTTCCTCGACTATCGAAATTATTTTCTGAAGAACTTTGTTGGTCTCTTTTCATTAAAAGTCCTTTTGAGAAGAGTGACAAATATTCTTTCAACCGTAGAGCTTTGACTGTGCGCTCGCTCTTTAATATTGTTCTAATTGCGGCGTTATTTAAATGTGCAGGTCGCGGGAGCTTAATTTGAATTTGAAAAACTGACAGAGCCTAATTGGAGGAATGAGATACAGTAAAAATATTTTCTATGAACACATCAAACTCGCGCGCGTATACTATGCGTACAAGTCTTGAATAGAAAATCACTAAAATGATTCTGTCGCAGAAACGCATGTGACGCCTGTTAATAAATGCCATCCACGTGATAACGCATAAATTAATCGTTGCAGCGGAACAGTTTGGGTCTAGAAATATCACCCCACATCCACAGGCATCATCATTCGCCGGGGCGTCACCACGACTTTGACGACAATTTGTAACTAATTTCCGACCAACGACAAAGTTCGTCGTTAGTAGCCCAATCCAACAACGCTTTGTATTATTTTTACCAAAAGAACCACACAGACACAAACACACGTTTTATAGAATATTATATCTCTGTAAATGGCGGCGTTTGTATAATGTGCACACTGTTTTAGAACTTAAAGACAGCTGTCGTCAAAAGCATAGACTTTTGTCATTTGCACGTGGAAGATAAGATATATAGCTATGAATTTCTACTATGAGAGAATAACAAATGAAAACTGAATCTCTAGATGCAAATTTTAGATTATAACTAATTGTGATTTTACCAGTTATTATCTTCCTGTTGAGTTTCATTTAGAATGGTGTTATATATAAATGAAAAATGTATACGTCTGTATATAAATCAAAGAAACTTTGTATTATCGGCGAAAACATTCAGAACCATTAGTATTGCTGGAATGAAACGAATGTAAAAGAAAAAAATGGACAAAGTGAAAAAGTAGTTACTCCACGTACGATTTCAATGTTTGATGTCACACATGCTACCAACGCGTAAAAAGCCTGTACTCGATGCGATGCTCAATGCGCATCATTTAGTTTCGGATGGCGGCACTTTAATGCAACAATTTAAAACATTTTATTCATCCTTTTTTTGCATTGTATTATTTACTCTTCAAAATGGGGTTTACTGCCTCCACAATAAAAATGACCTGACTCTCAACTTGCGTTAGTATTATATATTGTCTTCGGTTGGGCGGATTTAAGTCCGTATAAGATATAAAATATGTATATAAAAAGAAATTACATTATCATAGCCAGCAGTATTCTTAAGAATAGTATTTGTAAATATAGATATAATAGAATGCGTAAGCAGATGTAAGTTTTCTTTTTTCAACAACTGTTTTGTGTAATTCCATTCAGAAAAATCAGGAACTGATTTTGGACAAAAAAATTTCTCCTATAATGTTACACTTATGAAAATTTTTGTTGATACGTCTGTACTTTTGCATTTTGACATTGCACGAAGTTAAGAAAAAAAAAGTGAATAAATAAAAAAAAATTTATGTTAATTCGTCGTCTTTTTACTGAATATTGATACATTTACCTTAACCTATTGCACAGAGAAATGTAAATTGAGAAAAAACGGAGTTTCCTTTTCTTTTGGTTTACAATTTTCATCTTTATCGTACAATGATTTCGTTTATCGAAATAACTTGGAACAGGTTGTGTTTGAAGGCAAGGTAGAAATACTGATTATCATTTTAATGTATTGCTTATTCAATATAAAAAAAAATGTTCATTAATTCAATATCTGATTAATTCACAATACAAATTTGAAATCAATACCGGGGCCATTTGAACTTACAAACTTGTAAAGTTTTTAAATATGCTTCCTTAAACGATTGAGACAATTTTTCGGAGCTGTTCGTTACGAAATCCGTCGTCCGACTACGTAAAGGATGGCGAACGAATAGCGATCATTAATATAATAACTATTAAGAATGATTTAATGAGAGAAAGTAAACTATCATAAATATGTTATGATTTTACGAAATGCAGATATACTGATTCTATACGAGTAATGCCGATAAATATAAAAATAACACCGATAAATTATAAAAAAAATTTCATAGTTCGTTAGAATTTTTATGCCAATAAATCAATCAACTTGCTTTCCAGACCTTTATATTAATTACAGGTTATATTCTAAAATGTTTATGACTAACTGTGTGTGTTATATTAATAATCTTAATACCACCAAATTAATATTAGATCCCGTCTACGGCATTGTTTATGATATGGATACTCGATAGGAGTGCTCCTAATTTCTAAGTCATAATAATCGGTCTGTCAACATTAGCACATGGTCAGAATAATAAATTTGCACATGTGAAAGTAAAGGCAAATAATTAAAAGACCACCATGTATTCTAATAAGCGAGTATAAAAAGGAAAAAAAAGTTGCTTATTTTTAAACACCAGCTTTATTTCACAACATACTACGTCATTTTTTAAGTAATTGGAAATTTGGAGGTTGCACATTCTTATTTAAATAAAACAAATAAAGTTTAAAGCTTTCGTTGATATCAAAACAAACCAAATTCTTTCATTTATAGATGATTTTTAACAATTTAGCAATCAAAATCTTTCCACCAATAGATGGCGCTATTACGAAAACCTTAAAACACGCGAACATTATAAGGATATCTGACGCTTATAGAAGGACAGGTCTTATGGGGGCTCAATCTAGCAGTAGCCTAACGGCCCGTAGTTTTGTTAGGCGGCAACGCTGGCACCATACCGTATATAGTCTTACGTGGATCGTGAATAACTTTTTGGAGCGTTTGGAATACGCAATTGTAATACATATTTTATTTTGTCTAAGGAATTATTTATCGACGAAAAAATAAATGATAGAAAAAAAAAGTTGTTGCTTCTTTGACGAACTATCAAATGGTATAATTACTTTTTCGATTATCTTAATAAATAAAGAAATCTAAGTGCCAACTTATAAGACCTATAAGCGACTACCTTCGTTGGTTTTATCGTAAAAATAAGTGTCATCAGCTGTTTATAGATAGAATTATAATTAATTTCAATTAAAAGTAATTATAATAAAACGTAAATCATTAACATAGAAATGTATTACTTAATTTAAATTTAAGTGAAGTCATGTTTATTTATCGCCCAAAAAAGTACGAGCAGTGGCATCGGCAAGTTGAAGTTGAAGTTGAATACGGCACTGGCCGAGCAGCCGACGCAACCCAAACATTCAGAAATATAGTCCCAGAATTCCTAGGGTCCCTGAGATAAATTTTTCCAGCGACAACGCTGCATAGAATGAATAATATTCTCAATATTCTTTCGTTGCAATATCAAATATCCCCAACTCAAAATGTGACGCTAGACATAAGCTTGTTTAAAGATTAATTTTAAATCTAATTATAATCGCTTTGGTAGTACGACATAATAAATTGAGCACAAAAACCATCTATAATTATAATGGTTTATAGCTTCCAAGTTTTGTTATTTTAAAATTAATCGTTTACGATTCGACGCATGATAATAGAGGAAACTGCACGGAACTATATTGATCGGAATTGTATATTAACAATGACCTGCGAAATAATGTCTATGGAACTTTTGTTACTACTATTCAAAATTTAACTACGTTGGTTAGCGGTAAGTATACATTTTTCTTCCTGTATACAATTTAAAAGTAAAAATTATTATTTACAATCAAAATAACTTATATTATCAATGAATATTTAATTTTTTTTATAATTATAATTGCTATAATTACAGCTACTATCCTGATATTTCACAGTAATGTATTAAATAACAACCGGTCAGTTCTAATTAGGGATGAAAAATGTACGAACGACAAGTGATTCTGTAGTGTTGATTCACGAAACTGCTGCAACGACTGCAAAACAGATTTGTTTATACATTAACTGCCGACGTAAGCAATAAAGACGTCGTACAACATTTACTGAACAGGGGTATGAATGTTGATGTGCAAGATAGGCATAGTACAACGGTATACTATAAAAGATCGGCATTATACTACAGCAAGTATTATGCAACGCACATAATTCGATGAAAAGCTCACGACTTGACCTAGACTTATGAAGATTTTGCTAGAACTAAATTTATTCTAGCGCACTTGGTAATTGTTGGAACTCGTGAAACGACCATCACCGATCTCGTTTAATAAATTCGCATCCTTGGCTTATTAATCAATTCACTTTATGTAAATTTCATCTGACTCGTTTTCAAAAGAACAAAATTACTAAACGCATCACGTTACTCGAGCTTATAGATTTGCAAGCGATGAATATTTACGAAACGAAGAATTATTCATCAACATGAAACGCATAGATGCGAATATTATTTCAAAGTTAATCTATATTCGCAGATATTTTTAGATAAATTGAGGAAATCTCATCAATTAGTTCGAACCAAAAGAAATACTGATTTATTCGCAATTAAAATTATAGGACTATCTTGTTATTCACGTTATCTTATTTTCTACCGAATTTTTCTTGTTCTTATGAATATCACTTGTTTATAAAATATATATATCACTAAAAATAGTTCATCACTTAAAAGTGTCTTTTAATTTAATGGCATAACTTCTTAACTAACTATTTATCTGTTTAATGATATAAATTGATAAAAAAAAGAGAAAAATAGCTGTATATAGGAATGCTCTATACAAACACCTCTTAGGTTTGTATTTTACTAAATATGTAGCATAGAAGAAGAAAACTAACCATATGGCAACTTGGAACAATTTGAATTTGTGACAAAATTTCCTTAGTTTTTCGCAAGAGATTTAAATTTTTTTTAAATCTAAAACACGTTATATATCATCGCTTTTTACCAAACATGTTGACACCCTAAAACAAATTGTTTGATATCTGCCCGTTCCTGAACAGTGTGTTTAAATTCTCTTTCCTCTACGCAACTTAGAAAATGTAAGACCTCGTGCGAAAGTTTAAACTTTCCAGCAGCAAACAAGTACGTATAACATGGGAAAGTTTGATATAGAGGAAAAAGTTCAGTGTAGATTTCAATCGAATAACTTTATCAAAACTGCATCGATCAAACAATAACGTTCGCGAATTTCGGAGGAGCACACTTGCGACATTTTATAGATATATGAGGACTGTCGAGCCCCCCTGTGCGCTTGGTTCACCGACTCGTATTATTATTTTTTGTATTATTATTTAATATAATAGATAACTTGAAAACAGAGACACCAACAACCTACTCGACTGCCAATTTTACCTTTTTGGAAAGGTGTTACGGAGGAGATTATGTATGTATACACCAAAACCGAGACTGTCACAGATTTATGGTCAGCTGAAAAGTTAATATCTCAATGGCCAGCAGAAGGGAAACAGATAGAGAGGGAGTTTAGGTATATCTCCACGACTCAGACTAGCCTGCGACAAAAACCTTGAAGAAATCTTTTTTTTTCTCTTGACGTATACATAGTTTTGAAAGGTAACCATTCTCGTAGTTCAATCAACAAAGACAGACATTTCATCTTCAACGCGGCAGAGTCGAGCACCATATATATTCCTTCACCAAGTTTAAATACAAATTGCAATGTTGTAAATTAGTGGTCTTCGCAAAAAATCTTTTACCAACTTGCACATGCCTCCTAAGATGTATAACTGTATTATCACTAATAATTTACTCTATTTTTTATCAATTTTAAGCTTTAATCGACGAAAGATAAAAGTGAAATCTGCACGAATGATAAATTAAAACAAACTCTGCATATTGATATAGTACATTTAGATGGATACTAGTGCAAGAAAGTGATTTGAGCTTCATGTGACCTTTTCACGGCCGCTTCGCTCGGGCACGAATATCCACACCAAGCTGAAATTACTTTCTCGCATTAGTATCGAAATATACTATATATTAACGATTATCTAGTTATTACAGAATTGAATGGCACAGCTTCTAACATGATTCAAAAAAAGTACTGCATACTCTATGAACGTCTAAAAAACCATCTAGAAGTTATACTTTCATGAAACTTGCAATACGAAATGAATTGACTTAGAATCTTAATAGTCTTTCAAAAAGAATTACATGAACTTATAATTTTATGATAACATCTGGAATGATAATTAAAAGGACAATAAAAAAATATAATTTGAAGAAATAAAAAGATTGATCCGTTTGAAGGAATTAATCTACAAATAAACAACAAATAATTAATATTTTTTATATAACATCATTTATTAAGGGATAAAATAAATGAGAAATAACATATCACTTATATATGAAACTATAACATTTCTTAGAGTGTTTATTATTCATTATGATATAAAAGAAATCACATCACATACAACCCTCCCCACATGGTGATGGTTACACTTCGCTCAAAGCGTCAGCGAAGAAAACTTAAGAGAAAATTACTTATTAAAAATATTAAAAAAATAATACAAAATCACACTTTTGCCACTCGCGACAAACAACTCTCCAATTGACTCCGTGTGCCTTCGATCCATGATAAAATTAAGCTTAAACCGCTTCGCTTAAAATTATTAGAAGACCGAGAGACAACGAAATCCGATGTTACGTGCAAGACTTTAGATGTTCAAGTTTGCGTAGGTGGCAATATATAATATATAATATACTTTACATAGACGTTTTTTTCTACAAAAAAGAGAGGAAACAAGTCTTCAATCTCCAACGCTTCGAACCAGTTCAATTATCAATCGAATCATTATCCTCATTACGCATTTTTTTTACTTCCTTTGCTTTATTACATCAACGATCCTCGGAAGGGTCAAGTCAAATCACTTGAATTATCACTCTTGATGTGGTGGCTTGTACAATTAATATGCTTTGTAACTTTTGAAAGTGAAAACTACGCGTCCGATCAAGAGCTTGTTTTCTGTTTATAAATTTTTGGGATGTTACGCAGCACAAACAAAACTGACAAGATCGACAACGTTTTCTGCACTTTCATAGCTTTAACTGTTACTCGAGACTTGGCATTGTCTCGTTTTATGTTTTATTATTTCTCATCGTCGGCTTTTACACTCATCTCTGGTCTGTGTGTTTCTGTGTACACTCTCTATATGAAAAAATGAAAACGTAATTGTACGTGTATGCATGTTTGTGTAAAACGATAAAGCGTTACGCTGCTCAACGCAAAGTGAGTCAGCGAGAACAAAAGTCAACGGTTACGAGCGATTCCTATCTTTGAATAGTCCTCCTTGTCTTTCGCTCGCCATACACAATAAATTACAAAGAGAAATACGACAGTATTTGTTTTTCTAGTGTTTAATAAGAAATAAAACGTTAGTCGACCAACGAATCTTAAGAAATATATATATATATATATATATATATATATATATATATATATATATATATATATATATATATATATATTATAATGTGTCGCGAGAGTTAGATGCTATCCTCGCTGCAATTTGCGATAGGGGGACGAAAAAAAAGTATAAAATTAGGATTCACTAATCACTAAATGGCCATCGAAGATTTGTCAAGAGTTACCTCGCCAACGGTAAAACACAGTCATACTATAATGCTCGACGTTTCGTTGACGAAGTTACTAGGGACAATCTTTACAATCAATCGATCGGTCTCTTCTTCGATTCGTTTTCCTCATCACAATTTAATACATATATGCTCAATCACTCCATTCGCAAACAAGTCGAAAAATGGTTTACATGTGAAACGCACTTTCCTCGGTTGCTTGCACTCTTAGTGAGATCGGCTCGGCTCGGTGGATAACACGCACATGTTCCGCCGAGGCCACTTTTTTGCGTTTACAACTTAAATAATAGATTCAGCCAGACACGAATTCTCCGTGGGCCGTATACAATAAAGAGTTGCAACTCTTTGAGGAAAGAAACGACGATAATAATAATAATGTTAAATAATATAAAGTTCACAGTCACACACTTTTTTGACAAGACGGAGGAAAACGAAGCGGAAAAAAACATTTTAAACGTAATGTATTATAGAGACACGAGGAGGAGTCGAATACTCGCTTCTCATTCTCGCGTGCACAATGAAAATGAGAAATAAGGCGCGTACATATAAGGCGGCGATATCGAATGATAATTAGTTACGTCCACAGTGAAATTTTGGTTCAACACAGCAACTTCTTAATTATTTCTTTCATCTACTGATTCATCTTACTTATCGAAGCGCTTACAATCTAATGAAATCTTATCTTGTTTTTAATATTTCTCAAGATATTCTTGAGGTTTCAAAAGGTGATGAATCTCATATGTACTGTGGACTCCGTTTGATATGTCGATGCTAATTATAGGAGTCGTGTGTGTATGTTTGTATGAATTGGTCAAAAATAGCTTTGTTTTTTTTTATTTCGAAAGGATTCTTAAACATCTGACGTTTGGTTATTTTATTTTCCATTATATCCTGCCATATCCTATTTTCCAAGGCTGTAATTTTTTTTCTTTTTTGAAATTGCTATGACGATATATAACTTTCTAGTGAGATTATCTTACATCTGACATTAAACTGCGCCGAACCTAACGATGGACGCAAAACACTGAATTACATGAGCCTCAAAATCACACATCCAATCACTAAGTTTAACTTCACACATACAATACAAAGAGACATCATAGTCGCCTTTTTTACCGTTTATGTGAATTTCACTTGTTACTTTTTGTTTCTTTCACCTTATCAAGAAATTATTTACATTCCATTTTTCGTAATGAGAAAAAAAAACAAATTCTTGTTCCATGACTTTATTTCTTTTTGGGAGAATGAATAATGTTAAAAATTTAAATATTCTTTCTTGCAAGCTAAACTTATTAAATCACAGAATATAATTTAAATATAATTTACATAATGTAACTATGTCTCTTCGTATATTACAATACATAATATTTATTATTTACACGTTATATATTTTACCTATATTTGTAATTATATAAATTTGATTTGATAAAACAGCCTCTTCTTCGTTACAACCATTTTTCAAAAATGTTGGTCATGTCACGATTAATTAATTATCTGTATTTGAAATATTCAATTACGTATGAGAAATATTTCGAAATTACTGAATGATGTATACTTTCTTCAACTGTCTTTAATTTATTAAAAGATGCGTTGACATCTTCCAAGCTCGTTGACGTTATTTTATTCCGAAAAAAAATCAAGAGCAATGAAATTTTTTGGCCTTTATAATAAAAATGCCATGTTATATTTTTAACAATTGAGATACTTTGGAACCTGAAATCATTATTTTGAAAAACTTAATGTTAAAATATCTTTTTAAATAAAAAACAAGGCATTTGATGATTAAAATAAATTTAACCTCGACGTGACGTACAATGAATTATCGTACTTTTTTGTTCGCTTTCATCGTGATTTTCAAGATCTAAAGTATCACTACAATGTCTATTACAATCTAAAAAAAGTCGTTATTCAACGACTCGTCCGACGATATTGTCAAATTTAAAAAAAAAATCACGTTCTCGATGTTTTAGGTTGATTCTCTATATTAAAAAAGAAAAATTTAATCAAAGGTAACGAAGAAGTGATATCGATTTTTTTGTTAAACTAATATTTTACATAAATTTCATTTGATAATTACAATAAAAAAATAATAAAAATTTCTTTTCTTCAATGAGAATTTGATCTCTTGACGCGGTCAGTCGAACGGTTCTTCTGCCTGAGAAGCAAATTAAAACTGATCATTTATCAAATCAATATTTACAAAAGTTCCTTCTCTCTCTCTCTCTCTCCCTCTCTCGCTCTCTCTCTTTCTCTCTCTTGCGCGCGCTTGTTTAGGATCTCTTTTTATCGTTAAAAAAACGCAAATTAATAACTTGAAACTGTTAAAAAAAGTAATTGTGTGAAGTAAAATTATAAGAATATCATCTACAGCAACAAACTTCGATTGGACGCATATACGAGAATGACGATCAAATCGAAAAATCACTTAATTTTCTCGCAACTTTCTCCTCTCGCAGTTTCAAAGGCTTTTTCTCTTGCTCATTACAAATTTTCGTCCTCTGTTGGTGTTTTAATAATTATCCACCTCCGTTTGCACGCGGACATCGAGAGGTATTAACTTTTATGTTTGTGTCACTGTGTATGAGTAATGTTTTACTAGCCTCTGCATGGCGCCCATCATCGGGAGTCAGGCCTTGTGAGAGAAAAACCTTGCAAACTGGACTGGTCCGCGCGAGCAGTTAGGTCATGTAACGCATCACTGCGCGTAAGGCGTATAACAGCTCTGCTTGCATGCGAGCTTCCAGGATCATTAGATTCACGTGAACCTAGAATCACAATACCAAAAAATGTATTAACTCTAAAATGTTAGACAACTACTTTCGATAAATTGTTTTTCCAACATTTCAAGGACAACTCTAAAGTCAAATGAATCATTAAAAGTGTTTACTGCAACACAACTATTGTATTTGAATGCTTTGTTTCAAAGTCGCACAAACATCGTAAAGTGATCGTAAAGTGATTTACATAACTTTTTTTTTCATACAACATTAATGAGCATAGCAAAAACACAAGTACGCACCTTCTCGCTATGTTTGAACTCCCTCATGACACGATCGTAATCCCTCTTGGTGACACGTTCGGGATAACAAACGGCACTCTTGATGAAAGTTTTAAGGCTACGTTCGAGAAGTTGATTAACCTCGTTGTAATCGTAGTCATCGTGTCTGATGCCGAACATACACTGTATGTAATTCCAAATGGCCCGCCTGAAACGCGACGTGTCCACTTTGTTGTGCGTACCCATGGTGTAGTAAGTCAGATTGTAGGCCGTCTTGAATTTGTCGTCCAATAGATTACCAACATCATTGTACAGTCTGTTTACCAGCGAATAGCCGTGATCGTCCCATGAATAGTCTTGCACGCGGAAAGTTGGGATGTCGTTCAACTGGCCACGCTGCAAATAACGAAAAAGAAAAAGATGAACGATGGTACCTCCAATTCTAATCGTATAGTTTTTTAACCGCGTGATCAATCAAAAGTGTACCTTAGCGAAGTCTTGATAGATAAATGTCGGATCTTCGATGAACAAACCAATATCGGAGTCGAGTACGGAGCTGCTGCGCTGTGGCGCCGCTGCGAGCTCGGCCGACTGCGTTTCCACGGTCTCGAAGCGTTTCGACAGCTCCTCCTGGGTGATCTGATAGGACCCTGATTTCTCCGACAGACGCTTCATGCGTTCCATGAGTGTCTCAACGCCGACTTCTTGCTCGCCCAATATACTCGGCGACGATGGTGGTGACGGTTGTTTCTCTGCAACAATCAACAGGATCCATTGTAACGCGTTCGGCAAAAGTTTCCTCCATGCACTACCAATCAATAAGTAGAGTGAAATATGTCGTAATTGATAAAAGTGTTTTGAGTTGAGCTTGTCATCGCTCGCTCGAGCGAGTGTGCAAAAGCGGGAACGACTTTTTCACTCTGTAACTTTCTAGATTATCGGCGCTCCGTAATTGTAAGCGCACGTGGCTGTAATAAAAGCGTCGGTGTGTCGCGTGTAAGCGAATATTTGAAAATGTCAGCCTTTGCATTATGCCATTAACCAGACTCTCTTCGCAAACATGATAGCGCGCGCTATCTGCGTTATAATTTAGTAGTGCGCAAAAGTTTGAGATGATATCTAGTTCGCCGCTGCGACTAGCGTAGCCTACGCTGGATTTCATAGAGCCGACCTTACCGTCTTTCTCCATTCCATTTGGTATACGCTTCGGACTGCTCGACAATTTTATCTCCAGCGGTTTCGGAACGTTGCTGTTCGCCTGAATGTTCTCTTTGTAGTGATGTCCGAGCGCGTTGTCGAGCTCCTCGTTGATGCCGCACGAGAAGACGAAGGACGACAGCGAGTGGAAATGCGCCAGCAGCACTATCGCGTGCACCACCTCCGCTAACGACCAGCTGTCCGCGCCTTTCGTCAATTTCTGAAACGAAACGGGGATAAATCGTGCGTCAATGACGCGTTTCGCTCCAGATTCGCGCTGCCACGTTTAGCTCCGACTCGATGGAAAAATAAATCTTTCAAAGAAATAAGAAGAAGAAAAAAGTGCAGTCGGCCTGCTAACTATCTGGCGAATTTGCATCGCGTATTCGCATGCAAATTGCAGCGATTGCGGGCAAAGTAAAGCTCGCTCGTGTCGGAGTTATTGACTCGCGACTATATGCGCCTCGTCGCTCGTGTGTTTTCATCGCGAGCGATAATATTCTTAATAGGCCGGCAGTCGCATACTCGGCAAACAATGACGACTTACCTCGATGTGTACTTTGTTGAGTAGCCACGGTCTGTGCGCGAGAATCTTGTTGATCTCGTAGAGATTTTGCAGTTTCCTTGGTATCGATTTGAGTCCCTGCAGCCAAGTCTCGTCACCGCTTTGGTTTAAAAACTCCGTCTTCTGAAGATTGATCAGGTAGCTGCATTGATGCCTACCGGCCGCCTGCGAATCAAAGCAAGGACCAATTTATTCGACTGCCGCTGGCGTCGTGGAACTTGTTTTTCTTTTCTCTTTCTAGAAAAATCGCTCGTTCGAGCGTTTCTTCTGTCCACGAGTTCGCCAAGCTGATCTTGTTTAGTTTTCAGAGATAGCACGCATGCTAATTTGAGCTCTTCTTTAACGAGCGCCGTGAGCGCATAGATAAGGCCACTTTTATTCTTGGAAGCTACTTTACGAGACGACTCGCGGTCGATTCAGCAAGCAGCGCGATCGTTTCTTTTATTATTATATATATATATGTTTTTCTTCTCCTTTTCTGTCGAGCGACTCGAGATAGGCGATCAGCATTGCAAACAGCACGTCGCGTCCGCAGAACTTTCGCATGCAAAGTTTTATTACGCCTCGGCGCAAGTGTCAAAATCGGCGAGAGAACTGGCGTGGCGCTCCTCCTCTTGCGTAACCGCGACCGAGCGAAAACGTATATCTTCGGCTTTTTCGCCGCGCGCGATAAAACGACGCGCTCTCCTCGTTCTTTCCATCGTCGACAATATGTTTACCGCGAGGAGCGATCGCGCGAGCAACCTGTTTTCAGGTACACACGGGCGCGCGCTCGCGCTATCTTATCGCATTATCGCGCCAAATTTCTTTCGATCGATTTCGCTGCTTCGGCGAGACTTTTCTAAAATTAGACGGCCGCGCGTGGCGGGGAAAGGCCGCTTTCTCGGGGAAAACACAGGCAATCGTTAATACGCGCTCGACGCGTCAATTGGAAAAGTAGCTTTGTCTCCCAAAAGACCGAGAATAGCGTTATAGCGGCTGAATGAAAATAATTAATTCTTATCGCTCCGCGACAAACAAGTCTCTCTCGAGAGAGACTTTCAAAAATAAAAAAAAAAATAGTATCGACGCTAGCGTGCACACGTGGAATCTTCCGAAAAAGGTCTGTGCGCGTGGCTCTCGATTTCAATTTTTATCACTTTATTTTTTTTTGTTTCTTGTATTCAGATAAATTCTATTTTACCCTAGTTCGCGCGCAGCTCTTTATAATTATTCATGAATCATTAGTCACCCATTTACTACGCAAGACCTCTCTCGCTGTTCTTATTTTTGATCCTCCCCTTTCCAGCGAATTAACTGTCTTACCATGATGGCGATAAGATGTCGATAGTCGTAAGGCAACGGACCGTCGCCTCTGAGTATGAAGTTCTGCGTGCGCAAAAAGTGGTCCAGATAGGTAGGATGCGAGGACATGACGCGCGACACATGATCCAGCCTGTTGTTCTGTAAGAACGCGTCCATCAGCAGCACGTGCGTCTGCAACAAGAGCGAAGAGCAAAGCTGTTAGTACGCCTGTTGGTGTAGTATAGAAGCCGAAGGTCGTGCGAGTCGCCTTAAAGGGACTCGAGTGCCCATTGCAATCAGGTGTTTGTATTGCGTCAGTCTCGTCGACACGCCGTCGAGGCATTAGACTAACATCTAAAGTCACATCCACAACAGTGTGCCGATTCTGTGCACCCAGTCGACGAGGATATAGAGTCCGATGACTCGGAACAATTTAAACGAGGGGCAGATGATAAACAATTATCAGCGAGCGCGATAAGCGACGATGCGCTGGTTGCGCAGAGGGAAACAATGAGACACGACGGCACCGCAAGGAGCAGCCTAAAACTTGACTCGCAGATTGCTAAAGGCGTGCGAATGTATACATCTGCATGGCAACGCCGGAGCGAAGAGAAAAGCCGGCAACACCGAGAGAAACTGGTCCTCTCCTCTCGCCTTATATATATATAGTGGCTTTTCATCGCTCGACTCGCCTCCAATTATCAATTATTCATCGACGGAGCGAAATAAGAGAAAGAAAGACCCGCGACTCTGCTCTCGCAGGTGAGAGCTCTGCCAAATCGCTTGGCTGCAGGGCCAGCACGACGATAATAGCCGCGCGGAGCAAACAGTCGCATAAATTTTCGATACCCGAGCCGGAGACGACAATGCCCCCCCCCCCCCATGCATCGTGCGCGCGAAGGCGAAATTTTCGAAGAGGTAAACAAGTTGCGAGCGAAGGGGAGCGAGATTGATGGGTCGGGGTGTGCGCGCTGCTTTCTCTCCGCGCGTGGCGGCACTCGCAAGGCACAGTTCAATTAAAGCAGCATTAGAAAACTTCCAATCGGTACCCCCCCCCCCCCCCCCCCCCCCGCATGATTGCCAAATGAAAAATCAGGAATCGTTTGCCGTTCGCGTGCAAGACAAAGCCATGTGCTTCCATGAGAAACAAGGCTGCGTTCGCTATCCCCGATTGAACACGATAATTTTTGACCCCAGAACGAATAACGAATTCGAACGTATTTTCTTAATCCTGTCTAGACCGTAGCAGGAACGAAAAAAACGCCACCCTAAATTAATAAATAATCTCCTTCTCTCACCGAAAGAAAAAGGATTCAATGTTTTTCCCCTTCTACGGAACAAATAGGCTTCATGCATACGTGTGCATCTCTGGAAAAGTTTTTCTCTCTTTCCAGGCCCTTCTGTGGAAATCAGAGGTCTGAAAATCAAAGTTGCGGCAGATTTTAGCGAACGCACCCTCGACCTCGAACCGTGCATGTCGATTTTAACTATGCTATTGTACCTATCCCTATCTCTTGATTTTATTTTCTACAAGTATAATAATTTTCAAGCGTAAAAGGAGATACTTCGCTCTTGACAACCCTTCTATTAATTAAGTTGCACACAGCAGCAGCAGCAGCAGCAGCAGTAGCAGCAACAGCAGCGAGCGCTTGTGACAAATAACGATCCCACTTGAAATTTAATGTTCTTGTTTTCTTCTCCAAATGAGAGAGCTAAAAATGGACATGGCGCTCTTGAAATTCGCATACGAATAAAAGGCCTACTTAATCGAGTGCAAGCCGAAAATAAAGTTCTCTCCTCTCCTCTCCTCTCTCTCACGACAATCATTGTTAATTGACGCGAACTCGTCGAAAAACACAAAAGAGCCCTTCGATCAAAAGTGCACAGCGGCTACTCTCTGCCGATAAAATTACTGACTACACAAGAGAGAAATCCACTGAAAACTTTCCACTGAAAAGAATGTATGCATCACCGCGAGGTCGTGTGAGTTTCATACGATTTTGTTTCACCTGCCTAATTACCATCATCAACTTAGTGCCTTTTTTCGTGAAAGTGCAATCGCTCTCTGGAGCGTGGTAATTTTGGGAACACGAAACCGACAATGACAAGTAGGCAAAGGAACTAAAGTAGAGTAGGGTACCATGTTTAAAGGCGAAAACCCCTTTTTTGAACTTCCGGCCCTCCCCTGATAGTGAAGCAATTTAAAAGCCGCTGCAGGGACGGGGAACCACATCTGTCCTGTCGGTCTTACTCTGTAATGTAGCACAAGACCTCCATCCATGGTTTATCAGCGGGTGAGCGCGAAAGAAAAACAGGAAGGTTAAAACCTATACCTAAAAGAATCTGTCTGATGGGCCGAAAATAGACACACGTGAAACGAAGCTTGCAACTGCAAGCGGTTATTAATTTCTCCGCGCGCTGAGCAATTGGTTACCGAGCGAAATCTTATTGGCCTCAATTGACACAACGGCGGCGAGCGATGAACCTCTCGTTCCGCCGCCGCCGTCTCTTCGCCGAAGGTTATCATGGAAAGTCTGAAAATGCACGATGACCCAGTTGGGGGTCACTCGCCTTCTGCACTTACATCATGCTCGCACACAAACGCAAACAACTGCATCGTCGTAAACAACGAGAAACCGGTTTTTTGCTCGCCCCTTGGCTCTCGTCTACCTTATTTCTCTTTCTCCTTTTTTCGAAAAGGAAGGGAGCACGGCTATACTACGAGGCAAAAAAAAACAACACATCGCATACTGACGACAACGACGACGATGGAAGATCGATACTCACATCGTTGCCGATTTGACCCATGGTAGTAGCGCCGGTCTCCGACGCTGCTTCCTGCTCTTCTGCCACGGGAATCTTGAGGAACACAGAGAAATTGTCGAGAACTCTCTTGGACTTTCTGTTATCAATTCTAGCACGTCCGACAGTTGTCACTTTTGAGGAGCAATTCACAGCTCATAATAAGTCACACACTCACACGATACGTACATCTATCTCTCCCTCTTTAACTATTCGCTAGATATCACAGACTTTTCTCCCAAGTGTGACGACGAAATATATCGTATGATGAAATAGCACAAGTACCGCGAGAAATTATGAGAATGTTCCGCGAATGAGATGTCAGAGAAAGAAGTAAAGGAGCAGAAAAAAAGAAAGTGTAGAATAGAGTACAATAGAGGGTGCGTCAATAATGCTCGCGGCTCGCACCAGTGCCGGTTGCTAACTGACGCTGAATAGCCGTGCGATCGACGTCCTCGGCTGCTGCTGTTCTCTCTCTCACCCTCTCTCTTTCTCTCTCTCTCTCTCTCTCTCTCGCTTCTGCTGAGTACAGACTCGACGCATGCGCGCTAGCGACCGTCTTTGTTAGCCGGCCCCGACGAGAGAGAGGGAGAGCCGGCCGGTCATGGCAGGGCCGTAAGCTCGTAATTTTTCACTTGGCAACCGCACTTTGTTCGGTTGACTTTTCGCAATAGTCACCAAATTTCACCAACCGCTGCGAATCATCGACACACCACGCTCGCACGGCAAAATCGCGAGCGGGTCGCGAAAATTGGACGGGTAGCAAGAACGTCGGGGCAAGAACGTGCTGCCGCGAATAAAGAACTGGGTAAGGCCGGAGCGCGGGGCTCTCCGCGGACTGGATCGAACGCACGTACCTGGAGGCGGCAGCCCGGCACGGATCAGCTGATGCCCTAGCAACAGACTTACTAGCCAAGCTAAAAATATCGAGCGAATAACCAGCAGTTGCGAGGAGAAAGAGCCTGCTGCGCCCGGCAACTCTCTCTCGGTGTAGGTGTGTGCGTGCGTGCAGTGCGATATGATGAACCTTTGATCAGCTGCGAGCGGTGCAGTCCTGATAATCGGAGATGTCGAGGCGAAACTTTGCTCGCGAGCGCGATTGAATATTTTTTTCTTTTTCTCTCCGCTTCCTCGTCGACTTCGAGACTTCTCACTGCTTGGCGAACGTAATTCGGTTATAGTCAAAAACTCGAGAAAAGTGAATGAACAAGAGCGAGTTGAGTCGCTCGGAACAAGAGAGAAGAAGCAAATCGATCGCGCGACTCGTGCAGCTCTCGACGGCTACAACATGTATGAGCATTCAAACACGTACGCACGGCGTCGTCGGCCTACAATTACGTACTTCGCGAATGATAATCGCAAAATTACACGGCCTGGCCGAACAAAAACAAGCAGCGGCAACTCCTTACGGTCTAATTAATATTCTACCCCGAGCTGCGTTCGGATGTGCCTGCAAAAATGAAATCAACTGGATCAGAAACTGCTTTGTGCGGGAGCGCCGCGTATCGTGAAAAAAGACAAAATCACGGGGGGGGGGGGGGGGCTGGAAAAAAATACGCGCGCGCACGGGAATAAAGAAATGCGTGTGTGCGCGTGCGACGGCACACAAAGACGCCCCCGCAAGCATGCGTGGGCTTCCTCAATCGCTCGGATCAATGAATCCGGGCTGACCTTTGTTTGTCGGGTTCGAGGTGGTCCCAAAGCATTTTCGTCAGCTGGTTCACTCGCGCAACGACGATTGTTCGTGTGCTCAAGGTAGGAAGTTCCTCGTCTCTCTTCCGGAAACGTCGACTCGCTAACCTGATTGTCGGAAGAGCGGCTACGCGTCTTTGTCCTGACTATATAGGCAGTGCAGTTTTGTCATGACTACCAGATGGCCGCGGTGCCGCGGTGGTTTGTGCAGCGCGCGGACAAAGGCGCGTTTTATTACCATCGGAGCACAGTGACAATTTCTTTTAAATGCTGTCAGAGAGAGGGGGAGGCTGTTAAAATTCATCAGCGGTTCCGAGCGGACGATTTTCTTTTTCCTTTTTGTTCGCTGTTTATTGCCATTGTATTTCAAGCGATAATCGCGCTGCCTCGGATGCTTGATTACAACAGAGTATACCTTTATCTTCTCGAGTAGAGGAAAAAAGGCTGCAGGTTACATTTGGCGTGCTCGTTTGACGAGCCGAAAGCAAGACGCGTCGGACGATTCGGATTTGTTAACAAGATTTATCGCTTGGCATAAGAGTAATTAACATTAGATTAACGTTCGCGGCCTCTGGCTCGACTCTTGTAAGCGCTTCTTTTTTTTTTGGAGCTGCCCCAAACGTGCCGCTTTCACTAGGCTGCCAACGTTCGCGAGCGAGAAGCGTGCCTGTACACAACGATTCTGCGGGAACGCCGTG